TTGGAGGTTGAGGCAGGAGAACTGCAAGTTCAAGGACGGCCTCAGCAACTTAGTGAGGCCCTGTCTCAAAATAAAAAACAAAAAGGGGGGCTGGGGTTGTGGCTAAGCATGTGCGAGATCGATCCTCAGCACCACATAAGAATAAATAATTTTTGAAATAAAGGTATTGTTTCCAACTTCAAGTAAAAAATAAATATTTAAAAAGCGGGGTGGGGGGGATGCTGGGGATGTGACCCAGTAGTTGAGCATCCCTGCATTCAATCCTGATACAAAAAAAAAAAAATGCGGAGATATGACAACTATGTACACATAAATCTGAAAACCTAAATGAAATATGCCACTACCTTAAAAGGCACAAACACCTGCAACTTACCCAAGAAGAAGGCAATCCCCAGCCCTACAACTGTTAAGGAAGCCAATTTTTTCATTTAAAAATTTCAAAAAAAATAAATGTTTCTTTCTTTGACCAATTTGACCAAAAATTTAAAAGAGAATTAACACCAGTTTGATACAATCTGTTGTGGAAAATAGAAGAGGGGACAATTCCATTAAATTAAATATTTTATGGATCCAGTATTACTTTGATATCCAAATCAGACAAGTAAAAAAAAAGTACAAAATAGAAAATTACAGACCAATATCCCTCATGGATTTAGAGGCAAAACTCCTTAACAAAGTGTTAGCAACTAGAATTGGAAAATATGCAAAATATAATTATACACAAAACCAGCAGGATGTATAGCAGGGATCAAGGCCAGTTGAATATTTGAAAAGAAATCAATATAACCATATTAATAGAAGAAAACATATAAATCATATCAATTGTTGCAGAAAATCATTTTACAAAATTCAACAACCACTCATGATAAAAACTCTTGGAGGGGCTGGGTATATGTCTCAAGCCGTGGCGCGCTCGCCTGGCATGTGCAGAGTGCTGGGTTCGATCCTCAGCACCACATAAAAATAAAATAAAGATGTTATGTCTGCCGAAAACTGAAAAATAAATATTAAAAAATTCTCTCTCTCTCTCTCTCTCTCTCTCTCTCTCTCTCTCTCAAAACAAAACAACAACAACAAAAAAAAACTTATAGCTAACATCATGCTAAAATGGTGGGGAATCAATGATAAATGCCCTCCTCCCCAGACAAGGTGGGAACAAAGGAAGGTGTCAGTTCTCTCCACAGCACTGGGCCGGGGGCCAGGAAGTGCACACCTGCAGGTGGCCTCGCAGGGAAACCACCAGTCCAGGCTTGGGAAGCCATGATATTGGAACTCATCTCAAAATTTTATTAAAATGAAGATTCCAAATGTCAGAATCTACAGAAACAATAACATTAGTAATCAGAGGAAAATTCATTCCCTTAAATAATCACAGAGCAAAAATTAAAGAACAGCATGCAACTCAAGAAGTCAGAAAAGGAGCCATATGATGGGGCAAGAGAAAGGAGCAGAGAAGCAATGAAGACCAAGCAGAAAGCAAAGGCTCCAGGAACCAACGCACAGAGTCACAGTGAGTTAGAGCCCTGGGTTCATGAAGTCTATGAGATAGACTATTCACTAACTAGTCAAGGAAAAGGGGTAAAATACATAGGATTTAAAAAATGAAAGGGGGGAAAAACTCTGAGCCAGAGAGAAACTGAAGGGGAAAAATGTAGCCCCACCTTGGCTTAAGTTTAAGAAAATAAATTAGAAAACCTAGATCAACTGGATCATTTCTAAGGAAAATATAATTTACCAAATTCACCTCGGGAAACTACAATGTTTAAACAGAACGATATTCACACAGAAACAAAGAAATTATCAAATAGAGAAATTATCCTTCAAAAACAGACCAGACATAGACAATTTTCACAAGAATTCTACCAAATATTTAAAGATCAAGTAGTTCTAATGTCACCTGAACTGTCCGTGTTTGTGTTGTGGTTGTGTGTGTGTGTGTGTGTGTGTGTGTGTGCGCGCGCGCTTAATCTCTTTGGAGTTCCTGAGGGAAAAGAGGTGTACCTTCTCAAAACTCAACACAATGTTTAGCAAAGTAACATGGGGGAAACTCTTGGGCAAGACTCCAAATTCAGCTGCCACATTATCAGAATCATGTTTGTATGTTTTTTAAAAGTTTCAAAAAAGGAGGTATCCAAAGCAATTGCTTATTCACAGCTTTCTTGACCAGCAATCTGGAAAAGAAAAAAAAAGTTAAATATTTTCTGTCCTAATATGATAGCTTGTAACTTTTCAGCGTTCAACTGTGCTTTAGTTCTTAGGAAATGGGGGTATTGAGTTACATGTAATACTCTGTAATTTTTGCCATTTATAATAATGGGAAAGGGTTCAGGTACACTCCACAGTAGAGCTTTTACCTAGCAGGCACGAGACCCTGTGTTTGACCCAACACCAAAAAAATAAAATAAAATATGATAAAAATCAATCAATCAAATAATGAAAAATGGGATTCCCATTCAGAACACTGGGTTTTCAGGAATGCAGCAGTGAAGGTAAACAAGCAATAACTATATGGCACCAATATGCAAACCTTGTGATGTTTAAGTGTACCAAAGCAAGCTGCAAACACACCTCTCCTCAAAGCATCAGTCCACAAATCTTCCATAAAATATTAAAAGAATTCAACCACACATTTAAAAATAAGCAAAATAACCAGGTCAGTTTTAAGGTTGCAAATGTAGTACCACATCAGGTAATTCATTGCCACGTGTCTTCATATTTATGGGGAAATTATGATCTCTATAGATGCTGAAAAGACCCTCAACCAAATTTGACATCTTTGCTAGATAAGAACATCAGTGAAATAGGAATTGACTTTCCTATTGAATTGAATTGATGGGTACTTAAACGTGATCTCACAACATACTCCCCTGAGGCCCCAAACCAAAATCATTAGCTTAGTATAGGCAAAAACAAGGTAAAGGTACTCTGGAACTCCACCGTTACCTTCAGAGTATTAGCCAACACAATCAGACAAACAAGGGAGCCTGACTCAGTAAGAAAGAACACCAATAATATTCACAGAAGTTCTGAAAATATACTTAGAAAACAACAGAGGATCAACACTGAAACTAATAAACAATTTGAGGACTCAAAGTAGCAGGAAGCATAATTAACATGAAAACCAAATGCTAGATTTCTGCTCCTAGCAGAAGGTAATAACAGGAATCAGATTGTCCCCAATTTCCAACAGTAGCAATAAAAACAGCAGACATTCAGAGAATGGAAAGCCAAACCAAAGATTGGGAGAAAACGCTTATAACACCCATATCCAATAAAAGACTTATATCCAAAATACACAAAAAACTCCTAGCACTCAACAACCATAAAATAAGCAACCAACTAAAAATTGGGCAAAAAACCTGAGTAGATCCTCACCAAAGAAGATACAGAGAGCAAATAAGCACATTAGAAGATGTACTATATCCCAAGCCTCATGGAGCTGCAAGTTACAAGGAGATACCACTGCACACCTCTCGGAACGGCTGAAACCCCAGCACTGACAATACCACCCTGGGGAGGGTGTAGAGCAGTGGGACCTCTCCCTCATCACCAGAGAGGATACAAGACAGAGTAGTCATTTTGGAGAAGAGTTTGGCATCTTCTACAAAACAGTCTCACCACACATCACACTCTTAGATATTTACCTAAAAGAAGTGAAAAATTAAACCTACACAAAATCTAAAGATGAGTGCTTATAGTAAGTAGTTTTATTCATAACTTGCAGAAATGGAAACCACCACGATGTCCTTCAACAGGTGAATGGATAAACAAACTGTGGTACATCTAGACAATGGAATATTAATTCAATGCTAAAAAGAAACAAGCTAACAAGCCACAAAATGACATGGAGGAGCCTGAAGTGCATAAAGCTAAGTAAAAGAAACCAGTCTAAAAAGACTGAATACTATATGATTCCAACATTAAGACATTCTGGAAAAGGTAAAACTACAGCAACAGTAAAAAGATCAATGGTTGCCAACAGGCATGGAGGGTTGGGAGGGGTTCACATCTAGACTCTGCGGACAGGTAGGGACCCTGGGTTCATCCTCAAGCTAATCCAGAGAGAATCAGGTGAGGGGATTGAGAAGACAATGACTTGTTTGTGCCCATAGGAAGTAGAACAAGTAGAACAAGAGATCTGCTTTCTTCAAGAAGGCCAAGAGGAAGAAAAGGCTAAGCAAGTAGAGCTCACCACTTTCCACTGTTATACTGGGTTTGCACACTGGCTGACTGAGATGCCTAAGAAAGAATAGTTGCATACATCTGTCTGTGGCTGTACCTGCAAATGTGGGCATGTGTGATGACACCTGAGTTTACGTGGTGCATTCGGGGGCTAAACACTTCACTGGCCTTCCAGGCCTTCTCCCTTGTCCCCTGGGGATGTCTCCTCTGTACTAAAGAAAGGAAGTCTCCTCCTTGTTCTCACAGAATGCCCATGCATTGTCCCTACTGGGTGAGAGCCTGTCTGCCACCTGCAGGCCTTTGCCTGGTAGACTGGCTGGCCCACCCATACCCTCAATGCCTGTTCACTCAGGGTCTTGTGCTAGGGAGTAAAGAGGGCAGCTCAGGCAAAGGCCTGGGGAGCCTCAGAGAAGCTAGTAGGGGAACATGAGCAGGTAAGAGACAGCCACTAAGACTTCCTCCTCACCCACCAGTTCTTGGCCCCCATCTAGGATGTGGCCACAGCCCTTAGCAGCTTTTATGCAACTGGAAAGGGCAGTTTGTGGTCTGTCTGACAAGGAAAGCTCCCTCCTGCTGTGTTCGCAGAACTCTTACACAGGCGTTAGCTGGCAATTCACAAATATTTTTGGAAGAGAGGAAAATGAAGTGTAACCTTCAGTTGCCTTTGGAGCACTAGAAAGAAAGGAGATATCAAGGGACAGAGGCTGACAGCAGTTCACAGAGGCCAGCCACGTCTCCAGCAGCTGCCATGGAGCAAGAGGGAAATAGGTGACTGGACCTGTACAGTGTGCCTGCCACTGGTACAGGGAGATACTCACTGGGAGCAACTGTGGTCTCCCCAGGAGGGCCTGCCAGTGTCACTGGGACATGTAAGGTGCTGCTCGGGTCTGAGGATTCGATGCCCATCCGAGTGACATTTCTCTGATTGTCTGCATCTTCTGGCTGTTCCTCCACCTTCTGGAGACAAGTGCTGGGCAGCACATGCACAGGGGCTATGCCCATCACCCCACTGGCCTCCAGGCCACAGTGAGGCTCCCTGCAACCAAAAATGCACAGCAGAGTCTGATGCAGCCCCAAACTCCTATTTCTGCAAACCCCAGCTTCTTATACCTCTACCCAGGCCAGGTAAATCTCGGACAACCTCCTGTGCTCCTCTGGTGTTCTGTATGGATTCTATCACCCTATACAATTCTGTCTTTAGGTACAGGGCTGACTCATCCATCTGTCCCAGGCACAGAACCCTGGCACTATTGGCCTCACATTATCTATGTGGAACACAACTGTTGGAAGAATAAATTAGTCTGGAGAGGGATACTTCCCTGAGCCACCCACCCAGGGGCCATCCAAGTGCTCCACCCAGGCAAAGACCCAGCACAGAGTTTTGTACTTGATGACAGTAGTTCTGTGGGGCTGGTCCTGGGCCCTGGACTCCAGGCATTTGTCCTGGTTGGTTTGTGGCCAATCCATAAGTACAGAGGCCCCAGCCTCCAGGCTCCTGCCCCAGGCCTCTTGCAGAGTCACAGCTAAGGAGCAGGTGGGCAGCCTCCTTGTTAGGAGACCACTCAGTATGGTCCCCTGTTGTACTGCCCTGCCCATCAATCTCCTAAACTTCACTGGCCTCTCCTTCCTCCATAATCCAATTTTCTCTTTTCTCCCAAGGTCACTCTGTTCTTCCTAGGTCAAGGTGTCCCAAATGTCTGGTGTCCCCTAAGCCCGATGGTTGATGTGGCACCAAGATGCCCTGCCAAGCAGTTCTGAGAGGGAATTGGGCAGGAGGAGCATGGGCAACCTGGTCCAAGTCACCCTGTGCTATCAGCCAGGACATTGGGGCCCAGCATCAGCCTGGGCCAACCCCACCCCCACCACAGAGGGAAATAGGGGCCCTTGTCCCAGGACCAAAAGGTCACCGGGCCCACTGCTTGTGCTTACGCACTTGGGATGGTGGTTCCGTATCTCCTTGTCCGCCTCCACCATCTCGCCCTCCTTCTCTGCAGCCTCCTTCTCTGTGGCCTCCTTTTCAGTGGGCTCCTGAACAGACGGCACCTTGTGCCGCGCCCGGTGCCGTCGCATAGGCTCCTCACCACTCTCTGCCTCCCTGGAACCGGCCCGGGGCCCCCGGTGCCGCAAGCGCCTCTCGCTCTTGGCAGTAGGTGCAACACCTTCCTTGCCCTGTTCTGGACCGTGCCGGTGAGCACGGTGGCGCCGGGGCTCGCGCTCAGCAGCCTCCTCCGGAGAGCCCCGCCGGTGGTGCCGTCGTCCGCCCTCAGGGCCCGGGCCCCTGCTGCGCTCGCTCCGGGACTCCAGCGCACCTGCCGCGTCCTTGCTGCGACTGCGGTGTGGACGTGCCCGCTCCTCCCGTGCTCCAGGGTCCACACTCTCCGCCTTCACAGCATCAGCCCTGTCCTGTTCACCCACTGCGGGGACCACAGCCTGAACTTTGTCCCTGTCACGATGTCGGTGGTGCCGTCGTGGTGGGTCTACACCCTCGGTGACCTCAGTGCCTTCGGGTCGGGCTTTGCCCCCCATGGGACCCCGTGGGCCATCCCGCCCTGGTGGCTCCACCACCAGAGGCCGGTCCAAGTGCGTCTTCATGTCTGGTCTTAGGTGGCGTGTGGTTGCATAGCGCATTCGCTCTTCCGGGTCCATCTCACTGTACAGCGCCTCACAGCTGGCCCGCAGGTTCTGCAGCCGAAGCTGGCTGGCCCGCTGCTCCCACACCGAGCGAGCCTTGGCCGAGTTCTGCTGCCTGCTGCGGGGAGACTGGCAGTGAGTGTTGGCCCGCCCAGCCCCTTCTCTCTGTCTCTCAGGGAAGCCACGGATGAACACACAGCAATGGAGGGATGAAAGAGTGGTTGCAGGGAGGAGAGGAAGGAAGGAGAGGCGGCAGAAGCCCCCAAGACCACTGGCAGGATGTAGAACAAGAGGGGAATATCCAAGGGACCCAAATTCAGCTCCACTTCCCCTGGTGTCCCTTGGAACCCACAGACCATATTAGGCTATATATGCGTGGGGGGAGGGGGTGCTCAAGGCCACTCTGGAGCAGATAGATGGTAGCCACGGATCCTGGGGTACACGGCAGTGGGAATGTGAGGCACCTCTAAGAGGTAGCACAGGCTTCCAGGGCAAGTCAGCTGCTGGCCAGGTGGGTGGGAGAAGGGAGGAGCACTGTCCTAATGGGGATGCAGATGCAAAGGCTCCCCTGCAGCCCCCCCGGGGGGATGGCCCCACTCCAGCAGGAGAGCAGAGCTGCTCCAGAGAAGCCAAGTAGACACTTCCCCACTGCACCTCCCAGGAGGAAAGCCACCAGCCAGGAGAATGGGAACCCATACAAGAGGCTTAAGCTGACAGAGGATCTGGCCCTCTCAGGAACAAACAGTGCCTCAGCTGCTCACCAAGACGGTCCGCCCTGACTGGGAAGCCACTACCTGGCTCAATGGCAGGTCTGTGGCTGGTGACATCCCCTCCCATGGTCATGAATGTCCTCCTTCCTCTTGTTTCCATGGAGAACCTCTTCCTCCATTAAGAGCAGAGCCAGACATGGCCCTCAGAGCCCTCCGGCACCAGGGTGGCCAATGGTCTAAGCTTGACCCTCACTGCGTAAGCTCCTAAAGGCTGTGATCCACCCTCCACCTCAACAGCCAAGGCACCGCTGTTCCCATGGCACATGTGGGGCTCCACAGCATGGAGTGCATGTGAGGCCTTTGTACTCTGGGTTCTTTGATGAATAAGACCACCAAGGTAGGTGACCCAAGCCATGACTTTACCAGGCAGAAACCTCGTCAGAGGCCTTAGCCTTATCCTCTAGCTGCTGGAAGTTCCTGGAGACCTTGGCAATGATGGTAGCACCATTAGTAAAATGGCCATGGAACTGGTACTCTGGGCTATGCCCATCTCACCCAGTCCTTTCAGCCATCCCTGTACCCATTTCACAAGGGAAGACACTGATCCTGGAGAGAGGACTTGATCTGACCAGAGTCGACAGTGAGTCACTGATGAAGCCAGGATCCGATGCAGGGACAGGAGGGGAGGACACAGGCTGCAGCCAGACCAAACTGCACTAACAGCAAAGATGCAGCTGCCCCTGTGGCAGCCAGGCCAGCCACTCCCACCCTGCAGCCAGTGTGTGGGAAGCCACCACCAGGGGCAGTACTTGGCAAGTATGAAAGCAGAGAAGCACCATGTTGGTACCCCACCTCAGAGCCCAGGCAGGGATGAGCAGGGTGACATGTGGAAGCCATCAGTTGGTCCAGGGCCTCAGCTGTCACCTGTCCCCCCAAGACATTGAAGTTCTATAGTCCCCTGCTCCCAAGAATTCCCTGCAACAGACCCATAGGTCTCCTGCCCCAAGCTGGCACCATCTTTCAACTCCAGGCAGCGTGAAATGCAAAAGAGCCATGACAGGCACACGCCAGGCACGGGAGCCTTGGGCGGGCTGGTGTCTGGTCACTGCTGCTGTCTGGTAGCAGCCCAAGACAGGTCTGGACTATAAGCCATTTGGTCAACAAATAGGTGGTTCACTCAGATGAAGCCGCCGCCTGAGGCCAAGATCAAGTTCTTTATCAAAAAAAGATAGACCATGAAGGCCATGAAGGCCATGTGGGGACTGGCAGCTCAGTTTTAGACACAGGCAGGGATGGGCTCTATACCACATAACTGTCCTCAGCCTTGCCCCAAGGACAGTCCTCTCTCTCTCAGGAACCACCTCAAGTCTAGCAAAAAGCCAGAAAGTCTGTGGGGCCAGAGGTGCCATCAGGCTGGCAGGGCCTCTCATGACTACCCAGAGAGAGGACCACAATAATCAGCTGTGTAAACACTGCCCAGCCATCTGCATTAGCCACCATAGCCCCACTCTACCGGTCCCTATAGGTCTGTATGCTACTCTGGGCCCTGATATCACAGAGACTGTCTACATCTACACATAACCCAGTTGGTACCACTGGGCTTCTCTATGGATGAAGCCCCTGAGCCTGAACATATATATGCAACATCATACGCACCAGGTGTTTCCTCCTGTATGTCCCTGAATCATCCTGCCCTTGCCCTGGCCAAGGTCTCTGTACTTTCTCTGTCTGGCACATAAACCCCACTGAATTCTGCTCAGTTTGGCCAGTGCAGGTCTCTCACTCTGTAATTTCTACTGAGATCACAGGCAGTTCAAGAACCTAAGAATGGAAACCAATCCACACAGACCTCTAATGCAATATGGCTGGTGACTAATCCAGACAAGGTTCTTATTTAAAGGGATCTTTAGGGAATCACATGGAGAAGCTGCTCCCATGATGTCATAGCCCTATCTTGCAGGTGCAACCACCATCCATACTAGGGAGGACAACTTACCCTGCCCAACTCAACACTGTGGACAATCACAGGGCTCAGAAAGGAGCCTTGAGGATCTCATTAGCACTGCTTTGAGGTCTCTAGGTTCAGCCAGGCAGTTACCCATAACTGTTGACAGTGTGGAGCAGCCCTGTTCTGAAACCATCAATACCTGCATCAGCATCTTACTCTGCCATATGAATCAACTGTTCAAGATCCAACATGTTTCCTTATTTTTTACCCTATGAGACATCAGACTCCAACAGCCAACAGCAAACAGGGATTGGGGGAAGGCAGCCCAGCTCTATTTTGGCATCAAGAAGATGCACAGGGCAGGGCTGCTGAGAGCCTCACCACCACCAAGACACAGAGAGGGCACATGGCCACTTCCATCCAGGTGGCCCAAATGTACCTGACCACTCAGGTACCCTCACCTGCAGGGCCTTACCTCATTCTCAAGGGGAAATCCCTGGGGACCAGTCACCCAGAAACACTCTCCAGGAGGAGATGTGCAGGGAGAAGTCAGCCAGTTGAGAGCCTCCTTGGGGTTTTCATGGCTCTACCTGGTCCATGTGCCACAAGCACCACAGTTGGACAAGAGCTCTGCTCTTGGACAAGGACTTCCTCAGAGTCACTGAAACATTTCCCCCAAGTAAGGGGAAACTCTAAAAACCACAAATGTCCCCAGTGAACCCCAAGAACTCTCTCCGCCACCCCTGCATAAAAGATCCTGGCCTCATAGGACCCACAGGAGACCTGGGCTCACAGTGCTTCATCCACTCAGAGAAGCAGATACACCCAAGACACCAGACTGACTGCACATGGACAGACAGCAGACAAGAGGATGGAAACCAAGAAGGGGAGCAGGAGGGGCTGAGATCAGAGAGGGCTGACTGAGCCTGAAAGCAGGACTCCAGGAGGCCAGGAAGTGTGCCCACCATTCCCAGCCCAGGCTACAGAAGGCTGACCTGGAGCTGCCCATGAAGCAAATGACTTAGGTGAGAAAGCAGAGTTAGGAGTGGAAGGAAGATGTGTACATGTGTCAATAATGGAGCCACGGATGGAATATCGTAGCAGAGCGACTCACGGTGAATCTACGCTGGAGACAGATGAGCTGCGAGACACAGTACCTCGAGTTCGCTTTACAAAACTGCACATGCAAGAAACAAGACATAGACAGAAGTGAGAAAAACAGAAAGTTCTGAAAGACACTAGCAACGCTTGAGCACCACACCAGTGCGGGCGCAGGCTGCAGTGTGCATCTGGGCAGGAGGCTGGAGACACGTCCATCAGACGGGCACCAGCTGAGACCTCGGAGCAAAAAAGAAGTTGAGAACCAAATCCACACACACACACACAGAAAAGAAACTAAAGTAACACAGCAAACCCTACAATGACTGAAAGACGAGAAGCAGTAATTTGGAGGGACCCATTCATCCACTAAGGCTCCACCCACGCTGCTCTGAGAAGCCTTGGGTTAGGAGGAACTGTATCGCTTTTCCCATAATTCCACCCAGTCCTTCCCCTCTGCTGCAGGCCTCTGCAGCAGGCCAGCCCAGAGAAGCACAGACAAGAGAACAAGGAGACCACAGCCACCCTTACCTGACGTGCTGCTGGGGGCCCTGCTGCCTGCCCCACCTGCCTTCCTAGGAGCTGCTCCCAGGCCCTCAGGTCCCCAGGCTCAAATCCAACTGCTCTCAGGTCACCATGACCTCTCCAGGAGCAAACCAGGCAATGCCACCAGCCCAACTTCCCTAGGGATATAACTCCAGTCACTTGCAAGTAACTTTGCTGCAGCTTTTCCAAAACCAATAGAGAAAACCAGCATCTCTTCACAGCCATGACCTTCACCCTAGCTTTCCCAGAGAGGGCCAGGTGGGTTTTCAGTGCCTCCTTCTCAAGGCCAGGTCTTTACACAATCTAAGGCACACAGAGCAGCTCTCCTGCCCACAGGCCCTGCGTGCAGACAGGCATGTGTGTATGACAACATGAGAGTGTTGAGATTATGACTGTGTATGAATGTAAGTATGAGTAAGTGTGCAAGCATGTTGTGAATGTGAGTATGTGCATAGCCACTCAGAAGGTGAGGACGAGGGTGCCACTGCCAAGAGAACTGGGAAGACAATGTCAAGCTTAACATCCCTCCCCTCTCAGGCTCCTAAGTAAGCTGCCACCTAGGCGACAGACAGACCTGATCGCAGGGATCCCCACACTATCCACAGAGCATGAGGTCCTCTTGCACCTGAGGCACCATAAAATGTCCCTGCAGAGCACCCATGCCATGAGGCATGGTGTGAAGAGCAAGGTCAGGGAGCACTGGGGGCTGCACTCCTGCCTGGTCCAGCAGCTTAGGCCACAGAAATGAGTACACAGGCATCTCCAGCCCTCAGGGGTCTCAGCAGGATGAGTGGGAAACCCAGCATTGGGGGCCCTCACATCCAGCACCCATGCACACCCAAGGACAGGCCTTGCCCAGTATAGATCCTCCCTCATGCCCAGGAGGTTGATCCCGCAGGGTCACACACAGGACCTCTGTGGTTTCACCACATCACCAAGTATGGGCCACAGTGGCATCCCTGGCAGGGTCTGTGGGACCCACAGTCCATCCAAGAGGGGACACAAGCAGCCCTCACAGATATGAAGGCTGTGACCCTGGCTCTGGAGCTAACACTTCACTTGGGACCCTCCCGAGGCAGAGCACCTGTGGGTCCCAGGAGAAGAAAGCACTTTTTCCACTCAGAAACCACCACAGTGCTCAGGCCAACAGCCGATGTCACGTGTGGCCTATACCTAGGATGCCTCAACCTGCACAAAGTGTCTCCAAACAGGGACAGTGATAGCAGAGGAGGAATGGTCTAGACCTCCCATCTGGTGGCTTGATGCACCCTCCATGGCACTCTTCTCTCCAAGGTCTCAGCTGGATGGATGTGGCTACCCTCCAGCACACCCATGGGAATGGCAGCCCTGAAGAGCGCAGGGCCCAGGACTAACACTCACCAGCAGGACCAACAGAGAAGGCAAGTGCCAAACAGAAACATCAAGAGGCCACATGAGGCCAGAAACCCAACAAGCCAAATGCTGCCCTGCCACCCTCTGTCCAGCAGACAACACCAGCTTACAGAGCTCACCTGTAGGATGCAAGAGGATAGCCTGCAGATCACTGCAGTTACACTAACGACCTAAGCAGACAACTAAACTGGACAGACAACGAAACACAACTGAGTATGGAGCCACCGACAGCCCCATGATGATGGCTTTGTCCTCCACCTGCCTGGCTCGCTGCAGGGTCCCAGGAGCAGGGGCACAGCTGCTCTCTTCCTGAGGAACCTCCCCTGCACTTTCTGCCTGGCGAAGAGACAGGTCCTCTGCAAATGCCATCACCCAGGGCCTTTACGGGTGTGTGTGCACACGCACACAGACACACACACACAAACCAGTTGCCTCACAGCATGCTCATCCACATGCCCCAAAATACTCAGCAGTGCAGGCATATGACACCACAGAGATGCCATGGCTATGCCTAGCACTATGGTCAGTGGCCACAGAAAGGGAATGGTCAGCACAAGAAAAGTGAGTGGTGGGGTGAATGCGCATCCAGGCAGCCAGCAGCTGCACAATCAGTGGTCGGAGACGAGACGCGGCCGACTTCTCTCCCCTTCCTAGGCTGCTGCAGCCTGTGGCACTCTGCTCAAACTCTATAGTCCCTTGAAGCCCCCAACCTTCCACATGTGCACTGTACTTACTGTACCTGAGTCCACGGAACAGGAGATTGATGACTGGCTTTCTTGCAGAAGTCTGTTCTGCCCTGTATCCATCCTATCTCATTACAGAAGCTCCCCTGACCTCTATCCCAATACCAAACACTTAGAGATGTTTGGGGAAGCTGCATCAAATTCCTGGGCTCCTGAAGAACCTCTTGGCTCACAAAACACATTTCTAGAAAGCTGTATATAAACTCCATGTGCAGACTCCTCACCCCGATTAAGTCCCAGGCTTTGCCTGCAGGGGGACCTGGAGCCGCCCTGAGACATCCTAGTGAACAAGTGCTGTGGCTGAGCCAGTTCCATCCACACTGTGAGGACTGTACCCAGTATACCCTGCCCATGCTCAGACTGGAAGAATGTCACAGAGCCTAGACAGCCCAGGAACCCTTTGTTCCAGGCTTCTCCTGACACAGGTTCAGGGCTGAGATGTGTCCTCACAAGCCCCAGCTAATGCAAGGCATGCTCAGAGAAAGCCTTTGGAAGTGGTGACCTGGTGTGACCCAGCCACAGCCACCCACAATCTGCTCCCAAGAGTCTTACGCAGCAATGGAGATGTTGGCAGCAGACATGGGGCTGACTTCAGCCACTTCCTTGGCTTTCTGCAGAGCCAGCTTCTGATTGGCTGCTTCTTCCATCTCCTCTTCATCCTGTGTGAACAAGAGAAATATTTGACCCTCAGAGGGCCACTCTAAGACCATTAGCTTTCCCCTTAGTGCCCCTCCAGCCTTCTGCATCATGGGACCAGCCCCTGCATGGACATGGTCCATTAGTTCTTTCTCCCAGGACCTCAGTGCCCCTCCTTCCCTCAGAACCATGAAGCTGGGTGGCAAGCCCCTGTGTGCACATGCTTTCCCTATGAGCAGCCACAAAAGTTCAGGACCTCCCCACCAGGTGGCTCAGAGATTATGGTCTCTAGATTCCTGCCTCTCAAGCTGATGATCCCACTCCTATATGAGCACCCTGACCCTGAGCCGAGCTCCAAATACCAACTGACTGCCCGGACATATCTGCCTATTTGTACCATGCACCTTAGACTTGCTTATCAAGTCAAAGCTGCCCCTTTTTTTTAATCCTCCTTCCCTCCCAGAGGCACCTGTCACATTTGAACAAAGCTGGTCTTTCACAGGGCTTATGACTAGGTGCTAGCCAAGCACTGCACATAAGGGCTTTCACCATCAATTTTCAGTGGGGCTATATGCCTCCTTTGAGTTTTCCTGACTGGACCCAGCAGATTACATCTGTCTACTCATTCCCATCTGTGACAATGAAGCTCCTTGTGGCTCTGACACCAGGGCTGAGAGAGAGTGTGTGTGTGTGTGTGTGTGTGTGTGTGTGTGTGTGTACGCATGCGTGCACGCGCGCATAGGCACCTCTGCCCCTGGCTATGAAGAGGAATGGACATCTGGACAGACCCTCTGGCCCTGACCCCAAGTCACTAAGCAAAACCAATATGCAATGCTCCTGTGTTCTGGGTCCCAGAAGGAAAGTTAAGACCTCCACAGTGTCCATCTGGACTTCTGTGGCCACCACGGTTCCCTCAAAATCTCCAAGTCCAAGCACACCTAACTCCAACATTCCTCAAAATGTCCTTAAATCTGCATTTAAGGGCACAATAATGGCAAAAACGAAATCCCCTGGTAGCTGCCTGAAAATGTCCACCACAGACCCAGAAATGCTTCAGACCCAGAAATGAGACAAAGCTGATCCACCACACAGCATTCCCAGACAAAACCTCTAGGGCAGGGGCATCTTAATCATTCCAAAGAGTGTTCTCAAGTCCCCTCTGAAAGGTCTACAAACAATTCAATTTGAACTTATTTCCACTGCGTAAAATAAGTAATGTTACATCTGTGGAAATATAAAGGAAGGCAAGAACCAAGTCATTGGGGCTCATGGCCAGTCCAGGAAATGCCATATGGCCAGGAAACAGGCCTCCACTGGTACAGGTTCCCAAGGCAAAGGAATTCCTAACCAGAAGCCACCACCAAAGCTGTGTGCACATGGACAGGGCCCTGAAGACATGCATCCTCAGCATGTCCTCATCCACAGCAGAAGCTGAAAAGAGTGGCAGCCTCCAAGCTTCAAGCTCACCACCATCCAAGGGCAGCTGGTGTTCAGATCAACAAAAATGAGCAGCCCAAGTTGGCATGGTCCCAGAAACACCGATACAAAGGACAGCTCTGGACCCAGCAGATTACATCGTTGGTTCCCCTAGCCTCAGCCCCGGCTGATGATACCAACAGGCAGGCCAGTGGTGCTCCCAAGTTCTCAGTGGGCAGAGACAAGAGCAAGGGAGAAGTCTAGACCCACAGGCATAGCCAGGACCCAGGATGGGGCGGGGGAAGGCTGAGCTGAAGCAAAGGAAGGCTCATGGCCTGAAGCAGGTACACTGCACAGGCCATGCCCTCTTCCAAGTGCTGGGTGAGGGTGGACCAGGGATATCTGAGGGTACATGCTCAGTCATACCTGCCCAGAGACCTACACCTCTGGTGTCTGCAGAGAGGGGCCCTGAACTTGCCTTCCTCAGCTCCAGGACAGGGTAACAGTGGACCAGAGTGACTAGACTGGGTCAGTCTCAGAGATATGCAAAGGTACACAGGCAGACACTGTCTGGGCTTGGCAGCACGAACAGGAGAGCAAACAGCATTACACACAGAGAAAGGCATACTAGCAGTACACTCCCAACATACTGTGCATTACTTGGGACATCTGCAACATGGCACATGCCCCACCAGGTGGCAGTGCCTCCACACTAGAGCTGGGACTCAATCAAAGCACAAGCCTGAGAATGTGACAGCAGGTGGGCCAGTCACACAGTGTCCAGGGCAGTGGAGGTGAAAGTGACCTGGTATGGGGCCATGTCATCTGAAGGAAAACCACAGAGGGAGTGTGTGTAACCACATCCCCCACTGGGCTTGGGGATGAGGTAAATGTTGAATGGCACCTGCTGGGCACTGACTGCCTAGAGGAGGAGCTGTCCTGCGGTGGCATAGATGTGCTGAGGCTTGGCCACCAGCTGCTCCTCCAGGCTACAGCCAAGTCCAGTGCATGAGGGAAGCTCCACAGGTATCCCCTCGCTGCCCTTCAGGGTCTTCAGAGCAGGGCATTCTCTAGGGCCCACAACATGCATCCCTCTCTGACGGAACACCTCTCCCCATCACACACCTGATTAGACTCGTGGCCCCACAAGCCATCATCCCTCAGGCTGCCCCCTGCTCCCCACAGCCCATCCTGCCTGTGAAGGCCTTTCCTCATAGGCCACGCACAACATCTCTGGATGCCTGCCCACATGTGGGCCTGCCTTCCTGTCTCTCTTTACTTCTACAGCTGCAATCCCTGATCCCCTGAGCCAGAGCCCACCCTCACTTCTCTTCAGGACCTTGAGAGACTACCCTGGTCACACAGGGCCCTAGCCCAGGACCTGGTCCTCCTCATGACTCTGAAACTTCATCCAGAGTGACCTGGACTGATCCCCTACTCTTCTCAGCACCCAGGCTGCAGGGGGCATCCCTACATACCTTGGTCAGCTCCTGGGCATTGGCAAGGTTGTCCACAGCGATGGCCAGGAAGACATTCAGCAAGGTGTCTGGTTGATCAAGCTAAGGAAGGGAACTCTCTGGCCCACACTGTCCCAGAGTCACACCATGGTTGCCCAGGGAAAACAGGAGGCCCCATCTCCCTGGATTGCAACAAGTCTCCAGCCTCCTTCCCTTAGCATCCACCAGCCCCCTCAGAACTCATCGTCCCAGATGCACCAGCCCAGTCACCAGGCTGCATCTCCCTGGTCTCTGCTCCCATCAATTCCTCTGCCCAACCATCCTCCAATCACCCAACTTCTACTCATACTGATGTGGACCCTTTCCTCACCCCAGCCTTTGGGAGCTGAAAATCTAGGCCCAAAGCTTAGAGACTGTATTAGGACAATGTGCCTTTGCCACCTAGAGAAGGCACAGTCCATCTGCCTCTCCCTTTTCTGGTCAGAATGAGAAGCCTTGCCATGAGCTTGCACAGGCTCCAGCTGGGGCTCCACCACCTACCTCCCAGCCCTGTGACCAGAGCCCACCAAGTCAGATGGTCAACACACATCAGCTCCTTCCAGGCCCCAGCTGGGTTCACAGACCCCTGTCAGTCTCACCCTTCCTTCCAATCCTGTTCCACCAGGAAGTCCTAGGCACTGCTCCTTGAGCTAGAAGGGGGCACACAGTGCTCTGAGCACCCAGAACTGCACCCCACCCTGAGTGGATCCCAGGGGCCCTGTGCTGCAGGGCTACCACCCCTCCTTCAGGAATGAGGAAGCCAAAGCCACGAAGGGGCCTGCGAAGCACAGGTCTCCTCCCCAAATCTCTCCAGGACCTGGCCCTTTTTCTGCTGCTACCATGAGTCACCAGGGTATCCCTTGCAAAAAGAAACCTCCTTCTATTGCCAGGTGTCACCTCTTCCCATAGCTTGTCTCACTACAAGTAGAACTTCTTCTGCAGGACTGTCCCCTGTGATGACGTCAGGGCCCCTGCTGCAACCAGTGCTGACTGTGCCGGTTTTGACCATCTCAGCTTGCTCTCCTAAGTCATCTCATCATTTCAGAGGTTTCAGTCATGGCACTGCTGACACACTGGACTAGGTAATCCTTGTTGTGAAGTGTTGAGCAGCATCCCTGGCCTCTGTCCACTCCATGCCAGCAGCCCCTCAGTCATGGTAACAAAAGATGTCTCTGACACTACCAGGTGTGACTGTCCCTTGGGGAAGGCTGCCCATTAGAATGCACAGACTTGAGCCCCTTTTTCCCAAAATCTAGGGGTTCACCTTGCTCAAGTCTCTATCCTCTGGGGGGCTCTGCCCAAATTGCAGCTGGCCAACATCAATGACCTGGGTAGGTCAGGCCACTCTCCAGTTGCACAGATGCCCCACTTCCTGAGACTCAGGGCAACCTGAGGCCCACGACACTATCTCATAGCCAGGCCTGCTCAGGACTCCAATAGAACCCACAAGACTGAACACTGAGGCCAGGATGACGCAACTAAGGAAGATACCTCTAAGCACTTAGTACTACCACATCTTTTACGAAATGTTCTATGCCCACAGCAGAGCTAAGGGCCACCCTCTGGAGACTCAACAGAGGGACATGTGGGTATAGCCAGGAGCCATTCTGATTGACTAGGGAAGAGGATCTTGGTGGCCAACATGCCCGAACTACTGCTCTGTCTTGGAGTGGTAGTGCCCCTCTCTGGACATTGGCCTCTCCTCTGAGGGTAACACTGCAGCCTCCTTCCCTCTCTGGCTACCATAGCTGCACTTCCTTGCTTTATCCACACTGGGGATCCAGGCCTACCATCTCCAAAGCAAACTTTGTCCCTCAAACCCAGGCCTTCCCAGACCTCACACTCAGCCTCAGCAGAAGTGGGACCCCTGACCTGGGGCTCTGGGCCTGAGCTGTAACCTGAAAGCCCACACTTGCAGATGTGAGACAGAAAAGGAAGAGGAGTCAGAGGACAGAAACAAGGGGAAGCAGAGCAACACCCAGAGGGCTGAGAAGCACAGAGAGAGGTGGCCAGGTGTGTGGAGGTCAGTCATGTGCAAGAAGGTGAGAGGTGAGCAGAGCAGGCAGGTAGGCTGAGGGGCAACTCAGTCTCTGTCTCCAGCTCAGACCTTTCTCCCAGACTCCACAGGACATTGTGCCTCCAGGGTTCTTAAGGCACACAGGCACTCCCTGAGAACCTGCTGAAATGTATGCTCTCAGGCCCAGCCCAGCCCTGCTCAGTGTGGCACTGGGCTAGGGTTTTAAACCCTGGGGGGTCAGATGCCCACGTGTGTTCCAGAACTGGAGAGCTCTCCTTGGCCTGCCCTTCCTACCTCAGCTACAGTTCTCCTGGCCTTCAACCTGGCTGGCATCATGACCCTGTACAGTCTCTGGATGTTCCTTGGCCCTAACCTGAGGGAGAGCTTGTGCCCTGCTGTTGGCCTGCCTTGGCCCTGCAGACCTGCCCTCTGGCAGAAGACCCTGGAGCAAAGCCCACTGCTGCCAATCACAGAAGGCTTTCTCTGCACCTCGCTTCACATTTTCAGCAGGGGAGATTTTTATGACCTATGTGCCAAAACTTAACCAAAGAAGGAAGCAAACCTGCTGTCCTGATGCTCCAAGTCACCACCTCTCTGCAAGGTCCCCAAGGCTGCTCACAGTGTTTTTCCCGAGCTACAGCAGGTTCTGCCCACCTGCCCCCACCTCCAGATACCACGTAGAGCACCTTCAGACCCAGGGCCCAGGTCATCTAGAGGAAGCTCACTACCCACACCTAGCTCTGAGAGCATGCAGCCAACACACCAGTGGCCTTCCTGGAGGGAGCAAGAGGCAGCCAGGGGGAAAGCATGCAGAGTGATGACCACCTGCACACCAGCCCCACAAAAGGATACAGTTTCCAAACAGCGTCAGGACGATGAAGTAAAAGGAGGAGAACATGCCTTTGCTCACTCCACCTTGAGATTCTATCCCATGATACATCACTGCATTCCAGTCCTCTCCTGTTAGGATCTGCAGAGTAGAGAACACCACAGGCATGGCAGCCTCACGCCCACTTACAGGGAGGGCCCGTGCACACGTGCAGGCCTTGACAGTGCTTCTGGAGACATAGAAGCCTAGAAACCTGCGGAGAAACCTCCTGAAGGACATGACTTCTGACCTGGATCAGGTGAAAAGATGAGCACACTCTGGGTTTTCAGCCAAAGTGGAAAGGGCAAGGTGAGCAAAGGCCAGGAGGAGGGCGGGCAGAGGGGCAGAGTCTCCCCAACACCCAGAGCTGCCCACACCACAGATTTGCCATCAAGGAAGCTGTGGGGCAGAGAGGGGAACAAGCTCTGCACACCAGGCACACACAGGACAGAATCAGACCACAGGTCAGTCCTCCACTTGCTGCTGGCATTCAAAATGCCACTGTGAAAGAGGTGCCAGGTGTGTGGAGGTCAGTCATGTGCAAGATTTTTCACCTAAACTGCTGCCACATTTCCTTCTGTCTATTCACCCACCTTCTTCTCTAGAGGCACTTTTAGGTTTTGCTACTACGTCTCTGGGGCGCCTGTCAAAAAGTCAGTCTAGAACTGGCATTCCTGAGGAGGAGGCTACCCACATCTTGAACTTGTAGACATTTCCAGAGTGACCACCCAGCAATGTGGGGTTCTTTCCTCACATCATCACACCCTCCTTGCCATGACATACTCTGCTGGCTCCCAGTCTGGTGGGGGGAGGCTGGATACCTCCCCAGCCCAGACCATGGGGCCTTTCCCATGCCTGCCTTTCAACCCATCCACAGGTCCGACAGCACTTTCTCTTACTGGACTGAACCTTCCTTATGCATTCTTGCATGTATCAATCCACTGTCTGCACTATTCAGTGGAAATATATTCTATTCTCCTGTTTCTACTTAGATATTATAAAAATGATAATGTTATCAAACCTATCAGCCTTTTCCTCTATGGTTTCTGTTTTTTACACTTTGTGGAAGAATTTCTGTCTGTCCCATGGTCATAATAATATTTCCTTTGAATCATTTTAAAGAGTGATTTTTTTTTTCCACACTCTGAGAATCTGTGGCAATGATGATCTAACTTTCCTGTATGGAAACCCATTCCCAGACCCATTCAGTGTACCCTTCCCCCACCCATTTCTACTGTGCCTCTCTTGCATTGCCTCTCTTGCATAGCCTCTTGTCCACATCTGGGCATGCTTCTGGCCCCCGGTTCTCCTTAGAGTAGGTCTCACAGGCACCACACCATCGCATGACTGCAACCTCATTAGTCTTGACATCTGGGCGGGCAAAGGCCTCCTTCCGTGGCTACTCCCACACGTTTCCCTTGCATGTTCAGAGTGCTATCAGGCTCGGTTGGGGCCTAGGACTCTGCCCACAGACCTCCAGTTCTGGTCTACATCTTGCATGTCCACATTGCCTTGCACAGCTCAGGTGGAGGAAATGACTTCTCCCCTACTCTCATGGTAAGTAGGCTAGCTATCACTTGTTTCTTGAAGGCTAGGAATAACTCACCTCATGGCCCAGGACAGGAAGCAGAAAGACTAAAGCAAGTTTTGACTATTGACCTATTTGAAAATGGTCATAAAATGTCCCCATTTTTCTTTCTTCTTAGGTAATTTGTGTTTTCCTCCAAAAATGCATATTTCATCTACATTTTCAAATCTATTGGCATTAAGAGTTGCCAATTTTTAAAAAATAACCCTTTTTAATAGTTACAACTTCCAGTAGGGCTAGGGTACTTACTTATTTTTAACTTTTCTTTTATAGTGTCTAACTATTTAAATGACAACAAGGATGCCTCTGTAGTATTACAATCATTTAACATCTATAGGAATTTCCTAGGTGATCAGACAAAGGGCCAAACACTGTTTGCCCAATGAGCATGCCACTCACTGCTGGCTGGACACAGCGCTGTCGGCCAGGTCTGCTTGCTGTATCCACAAGCTCTTACCACCTTCACCTTTCAGTTTAACGGAGGCTGGCACAGATGTGTTGAAAGATACTGTTCCCACCAGGTGTCTGGGGTGTGCTGGCGGCCAGGTGAATCTACAATGGCAGCATCAGATGCAGCACCCCCTGCCCTTCTCTCCTCCTTCTTCTAACCTTACTAGTCCTTCTCTCCCTTCTCTTCCTGAACTTCTGTGTGGGCTAGTGTTCACATTACTGTACCAGCCGTCCTTTGGTCAGCATGTATTTAGAGCTACCTTTTTTGTAACCCTTCATTTTTAAAATCACGTAATTTTTAAGGTACGATGAATAATTTCACAAACTTCTGTGTACCCATCACCCAACTTAAGAAATGAAACATCCAAAGAAGGCTGAAGTTCCTTGGCTAGACATCCACAGTCCCTCCTACCCCTGGCATTGGATGTGGGGCCTGTAGTCGCACCCAGTTTTTATACCTCCTACGTACATACACAACACACAATACACTTTATGCTTTCCAGCCTTGCTTAGTTGTGTGTGCTTTGTATTTTTCGGAAACTTATTTATTTCGTTCAACGTTGTGTGTCAGTGAGATTCGTCCCCAGTGATATACTGGCTCTTGGTCCTGCACCCGCCCCATGCATGGTACTGCACACTTCCCGTGCAGCCAATGATTATCATTTGAGTGATGTCCAATTGTTTCTTGTTACAATTGATGCTGCTGCTATGGCCTTACACGCTTCAGGCAGAGACTTCCCAGAGCACAAGCTGAGGACAGGAACTGCCAACTGTGATCCTCGGTGTGCTGGATGTCACGAAATCCCTCCCAAGAGGTTCCACCTGCCCAACAGTAGTATAAAGGGTCCCTCATTTCTAGTCTTCTCTGAAACCTGATATTGTCATATTTCTTAAGTGTGGGAAAGATTGTCTCACTGTGGGTTTAATTTGCAATAAAGTTGACTACAGTTTGTACAAGTTTATTCAGCAGTCCAGTTTGTTTTCCTGCAAGTTACTCATTTATATCCTAGGACACAATTGGTCTTTTTATCTTTGGAAGTTTCCAGTACATTCTGGAATAGTCCTGTTGGAAACGTCTTCTCCCCATCTACAGTGGGGTTTTGTGTTTTGCCTTTTCTGGTTTGCTCATCCTTACCTGGGTGGTCCGTGTTCCTCTTCTCAGAGCCTTCCCTGCCCAACAGTAACCATGACGCCCCTGTCGCTGTGCTTCTAGAATTTCATGTCCGCTTTTAACACTCGTCTAGAACTGACCTGTGTATTCAGTTCACATTTTTATACGTGGACAGCCACACGCTGTCCCAAGCCCTCTGCAATGACAACACTTGGTGTTCTGTGTTATAGATATTTTATCTGTGAATAATGATGTTTTTCTTTTTTGTTAATCCTGAGGATTCTTACTTTATTTCTTCTTATACTACTACACTAATACCCCTGACACCAGTGTAATCTTCTAAGTTTTTATTTGCAAGGAGTGTTGGGTTTCATCTTTTCCAGGAAAAAAAAAAATTACACTCCAAACACCAGATGGAGATCACAGCAAGTCCCCAGTGCTCCTCACCCAGCTCTGGAGAGCAATTCTGCTTAAAGTTCAGGGGCGTTTCCAAGTCACGTGGATTTTCTTCCTCAGTCTGTTAATGCGATGAGTTACATTCATGGACTTTTAGTGTTAGTTCTGGATCATGTGTTATAAAGGTAGGTCCAGGCATACCTGGGTCCACTAGTGGTTTTCCCCTGGGAAAACGCCCATTTGTGAGAATGGCCTGCACTTCTTTGTTTCTCATATCCAGGTTTTCTAGTCTTATAACATCAATGAAGAGTTTTCCTTTCTACATTCTCTGGAGTAGTATGTATAAAGTTGGAATGACTATTTGAATAGTAGAATTAATTCATAAAACTATCTGAACTTGGTGGCTTGGGTACATTTTTGACATTCAATTTCTGAAGTGATTCAGGTCTCCTACTTCTTGGGTTGGTATTTTTTCTTCTGTATCATCCACTTAAATGCGTGTTTGCAGTGCTTTCTATAGCCTCGGAGAGGTAGGAACTCTCCACATCTGTGTCTGAAAGTGTCTTCCATTTCACTCTAGCACTTGGGCACAGCTCTCGGGACTCAGCATCCCAGGCTCAAGGAGACAAGACTTCTTTAGTCTTTTCTTTTCTAATTTTTTTTTTTTTTTTTTTTTGGTGCCAGAGCCTCATGCATGCCTTCTCCTACTGAGCTGCATCCATCCCCCATCTCTTCTGCCTCTACCTTAGCCGCCCTGGGCATCTGCCACCTCAGCTCCAGCTAGCTCAGGTCCTCACGGTTTCCAATGCTACACCCTCTCTTGCAGAAAGTACAGAGTGAAGTACACCCTTATTCTTTAACTTGAAAATCTCCACTTTTCATTTCTAGGATTTCAATTTAGTGTTGAGTTCATTTTCACTGAATTGTTCTTTGTGTTAGGCACTTTTCCCCATGATTTGGGGCTTTATGGTCCTTCCTTTGCCCTTGGAGAATCAGAGGTGCACTCTGCCTAGAGCCATCAGTGCTCTGTCACTGCCCTTTCACTGAGAGTAGTCTCACCTTCTGACCACAGGCACTGCTGGTCCTCTTCTGGGCATAGTGTTTACCAGGTTTTGGTCTGGAGGTCACCAAGAGCAAAGTAGAAGCTGCTGTCCCCCTCCCCACTCCTGCCCACTTCAGAAGCTTCCTTCATGAGAGCACAGGCCCCACCCAGAGGCATCCTGTGGGGCCAACAGCCCTGGCCAGCATCTGCACTGCTGCTGCCCTGGCAACCTTGCTAGCCTCCTGCAGCTCTCCTCAGCCTCCTTAAAAGACCCAGCACCCTCCCCAACGCTCAGAGTGCTGAGTCACATGTGCACACTGCTGATGCCCTGGGACTCAAAAGCCTAACCCACCTGCCTCTTCCCAGACCAAATTCTAGTGTCTGGGTCTATACTGTCTCCCAGGGAATGATTCCAATCTGTTTCTAGTCCATAGAGATTTGGTTTCTGCTTAGCTAGGTCCTTCTATCGTCCTGTTGCTGTGTTCAGAGCAGAGGGCATGAAGTCTCATCACGGTACCTCTGATCAGAAGGATCACCTTTTCTCCTAACTATACCCACTCGGGGGAAAGCCTGCCCTGGTATGTAGGGCCCTTCTGACCTGGCTCAGCCACTACAGCCCACCTGGCCTGCCTACCCTCTCACCATACCCACTCTTCCACCCAGAATCCATTTCTCCTGGTTTCCCTCACCTGGTGCCTGGCAGCCCTGGTCCTGGAAGCCCAGGGAAAGAAGAGCCCCTTCCTATCCTGAGTGGACTGTATTCCTCAAGGAGCCTATGTCCACCCTCTACGCAGCCACCCTCCTCTGTCTCCTAGGCTAACAGATCCTACAGGAAGCTACTGACCTGTGAGCAACCCAGAGCTGCCCATGCATCAGGGAGAGAAAGGTAGTGTGAGGAGGGCGGGCAGGCATCCACACATGGTGACCCAGAGGAGGGGAGAGGAAGGAGGGACAAGCGTAGCACAAGGGCCTGATGGGTCCAAAGCTGAAGTGCCCCTACGGGACGCACTTGTTTTCTGTGGCTGTGACTGAGCTGATGGCACGAGAGGGGGGATGTGAGGAAGAAGGCCACCAAACTGCTCTCTTAGCCATTCGTCTGGTTTGGTTTGGACCATCAGCTGGAAAGACACCCTTTCTTTGAGAGAGTGGGACACGAAGGCCCCTCCTCACATACATGGACTCAGCTTTGGCCCCCAGAAGCCAAGGGACTGAGCCAAGGTCCAGCCTGGAGTGCACACTGCCTGTCAAGCCTCCCTGGGAGTCACCACCGGCGGAACAGCAGCAGCCTGCCATCTTTCCCAGCCTCAGAAGGCATCCAAGCAGGTGCCATAGGTCAGGAGTTCATGGCGTTACCTCATCAGTGAGGCCAGACTGGCAGCATTTGTGAGGCCACAGCCCTGCAAAATAATCCACAAAAGGGAGCCCCCCAAGAAGGCAAGGTCACCTGAGCCAACCAGGCCCTGACTTATGGAGTGGCCCAGCCTCAGCTGCCCAGGGGCTATGGTGAGCCAGGTGCAGCCCCAGGTACAGAAAGACAGAGGCACCACGTGGCTGAGACATAGCCAGGGGGAGTTCAAAGAAAGCTTTGGTCTTCTGTCCTCAAATGACAAAAGAAGTGGTTCCCAGTGCTGGAGGCCAAGAGAGAACTGATGGCTTGGAGGCAGTGTCTGCCCTCAGAGATGCGCCTACTCCTTAGTGACTCCCAAGCACCCAGCTTCCCTTGAAGCAGGCGATGCCCCTGCCTGTGTTTGTGGTCTGCTTGGGGAGGGTTCTCTCCAAGTGCTACGTATGTGGCTGTGCTGAGAAGCTAGGGAAGGCTAGACCAGGCACTTTCTCAGCACCAGCAATGTGAGCTGAGCAGAGCAAGGCCTCACCTGGAAGACCGTGAGGATGGCAGCAGGAAAGGTGTCGAAGTTGGTCGTTGGAGTCTCATCTTTGAAGTTAAACCTGAGAAAAACAGGAAGTCTTGGGAAGAGGCAACCCCACCAAAAGCAAGGGGAATGGGCGCCTTGGTACCAACATGCTTTGTACAGGCCACACACAGGCTGCTTTCTCTACATCACCAACCCCTTTCAAGGATCTTCAGGAAGGAAGACAGGTGGGAGAGGCACCATCTGCTCTGGGCTCTGCCTCCCTAGAGGGACCTCAACCTGTCCTCCCCGAGAGTTCACTTACTGTCCCCCAAACAGCTGCATCCCTAGGAGAGCAAAGACCACAATGAACAGGAAGAGCAGAAAGAGGAGGCTGATGATGGACTTCATGGAGTTGAGCAGAGACACCACCAAGTTCCTCAGGGAGTTCCAGTACCTGTTGGGAGCCAGGCAGGGTGGTCAAGGACCTAGCTATGGCTAAGGCAGAGCTAACCTCACACTCACCCAGGCTCTTTGCAGTCACAATGCTCTATAGTCTTCTGAACCCTAAGGGCCCACACCTGCAAATGAGACCGAGCTTCTCTCCAGGGTTCCAGACATGCCATCTGTGACTTAGTACAGGCCCATGGGGACACCAGAGACACTGCCTGCCTCACTAGACTCAGGTCATCCTCCCTCACCTACATCCAAATCTCTTTCCTTGGCAGAATGAAGTAACCACCATCAGTGCCCACGCCTAGGCTTTGTTCTTCCTCGGCTTCCACCCTAAAATGCCCAGTCAGCCACCCAGAGCCAACACCAGCACCAGGTGAGATGCAAACTACTTATCCCCAGCCCACACTGGAAGAAGGAACTACAGTAACCACGTCTTCCTTGCGGGCTAGGTAGAGTACCCCCTCCACTGAGGACCAGGACACAGGCCACAAGTGCATAGGGAGGGGCACCCCTCAAGGGCCCCTATCCCACTCTCCTGCCTGATCCCTCCATCAGGGAATAGGCTCCACCTGCCTCTGCTGAAGGCCTTGCTGCTAAGTGGGACTCCACCTACCACCATCCTCAGACAGGCTCTTCCAGGAGCCCACAGCACCCTTCCCTCCAGGGACCCAGGATCACCCCAGTCCCCCAGATGCTCCTTTCCACATGCTCTTCCTGCCCTAGGGGAGGTGGCCAGATGGACACTGGCCTCCCCCATGCTCACCATGCCACGGGGCATCCCAGGGCCCTAGAGCAGTGTCCTCCTCCCCAGCACCCATGTCAGAGGCCCCGTCACTTTCCATGGACTCTGATGATGTATGTGAGGGCAGGTGGCAGGAGTGCTGGAAAACCGACTCTCAACCAGGACACACAGGGGCCAGCTTGCCTGGAGACAAGGTCACCTGCCTCTTGTCAGGAAATGGAATCCTGAAGGCAGAGGCGAAGGCATGCTCTGTGGACACTTCCCAGCGCTCTGGGCTCTCGTTAGTACATCATCACAGGAGAGTAACCAAAATGGAGAACTCACTGCAGGAAGCCCTCAGCGCGTGTCAGTGCCAAACTGCACTGAACTCTGACCCAACCTCTTCCTCATTCACACCTCCACATCTTCAGATGCTCTTTGCTTTAAAACAGCTGGAAAAGATCAGCAGAGCTCCACCCTGCCTGGGGAGGTGACCTACCAGCCCAGGCCCTCACTTCTCAGTGCTGACACTCTAGTGTCTGGGCCCCAGCTACCAGGGCCACCACTCAGAGCCTGACCTCAGGATGAGCTGGGCCCACAGTCTGGCCACAGTGACAGTCGCTGAGGCCACTGTGGAGAAGGTCTTTCTCTACTGTCTCTGCAGTGAGCAGAAGGACCTGCGCCCAGTTCTCTCACCAACTGCACCATACTACCTTCTGGGCCTTGACATCCTCATGGGCAAACTGGAGCAATTCACTTCCACAGTCAGGACTCAAGTGAGCCAGGACTGGAAATAGCATCTCATCACTGTCACTGTCACCAAGGCTTGGGGTCAGGCAGGACGGTAGAAAAATCAAGCCAGGAAGCAGGAGGCTTTTGGGCTCTAGGCCAGCTCAGGTGAAGTCATGGGCTGCAGAGTGGGTGGGCAGGCGCAAGGCAGGGAGATAACTTCCATCTGAGAACATACATTTCCTCTACTAAAACAAGTTACCTCTGAAGGTTGGTAAGACGAACTGGTGGTTTTGAGAGGTGGTGTGAGTTTGTGGGGGCACACTAGCAAGGACCAGAAGCGAGCTGCAGCTCTGGGCCAGCAGGGAGTGGCCTGTGAGGCCTCGCATGCAGGTGCCCTGGTGTGTGCTGTTTCACATCCAGCTTTTGGTATTCCAACCATAAGCCATGGGGAGAGGCTCTACACACCGTGGATTCCCAGGCACCAGCATTCTGTCAGCCAACCTCACACACTGCCTCCCTCCACCCTCCGTCTCCCCGACCCAGAAGCACACAGTAACATACTTTGTGACCTTGAAGATCCGCAGCAAGCGGAGGGCCCTCAGCACGCTGATCCCAAAGGAGGTTCCTGGTTTTATGGCAGCCCAGACCACTTCAAAGATGCTCCCCACAATGACCTGCAAGAGGCATGGCATCAGCCCTGGAGTTCACCTGCATCGTGTGCTGTGTGTGTGCATCTGCACAGCTATGTCTCTGCAGGCACCCACCCTACATCTTCAAGCCAGACAAGGCAGTGCAGATACGTAGGTCAGAGGACCTGCATCCTCTCTCCCACACCATCCCAGACACAAGGAGGGCACAGAACATAGAGCAAGACCAGGCCTGCTGGTGTCCTGACAGACTAAAGCCACCTGTCTAGTGCCTCACCCGTGCTTTATCACAGCCACAGGACATTGCGTCTTCTTAAACACCTCTGGGGCTGGGAAAGCACCCTGGAAAACTCCCACAACCCCCTCCCTGGTCCTGAACACTGTAAGCTAGACCTTTCTTCTCCCAGTGACCAGGAGCCAGATGTGCCACCAAGAACAGACTGTGGCGAGCCTGCCCCTCTGTTTTGCTGCAGGATTACCTCATGCACAAAGGAAATGCCCCCCACCCTCGCCGCTTTCAGTTGCTTTTCATATGGGCAAGGAAGGCCAGTCTGGTCAGTGCTGGAGCAAGGGGCTCAGAAAGGACAGACCAAAGAAAGTGGAGCCTAGCAACCCTTTACTACCTTCCCCTGGACAGGACACACAGGGTCACCTTGAATCCTCTCCCAGGCTACCACACCTCACAGCACACACTCAGGGCTCACAGTCAGTATAAAGGAACACCTCCTCAGCTTGGGCAGCTTCTCCCTCGGGGACCTCAGTTCTCTCAAACCACAGGCTGCCACACTGTGAGGAAAAGCAAGCAGCCTACAGAGAGGCTACCTGACCCAGAACCAAGACTGCATCCCTGGTCTTCTACTAGGCTGAAACCTCAGGAGAGACCCTGGGCCAGAGGCACCCAGGCAGCCACACCCAGATTCCTGACCCACAGTGTGAAAAGTAAAAGAGATTTTAGCAGTTTTGAGTTGTTAAGATCTAGAATAATCTGTTAGCTATGTGCAGACTGCCCCATATCCTGGAGTCCAGTCGTGCAGGTCGGAAGGTAGAAGCGTATCTGCAAAGCCAGTGCACCTCTGACACCCCCTCAGTGACAGGACCTCTGCCCCAATAGCTCCTGCCTGTCTTTGTGGCCAGAGAGGCAAAGAGTGAGAGCACTGCAGTCTTCCCACAACCACTCAGAATCACAGGTGCTGATCCCAGAGGGCCCTGGGCAGTCTGGCACAGTGTGAGCCACTAGCAGCTGGGCAGTCTTGGCCAGGCATGGCCTGTCTCAAGTCTCTCATCTGCAAAGTAGGGGCCATGGGCACAGTGGTTGCCAATTGCAAGATGCAAAGGGAGAACATTACAAATCCAAGTTGAGCTGAATTTCCAGCTGAGGTTCTCCTTCACCCTGTCACCACAAACCAGAGAGCTCCAGGTTCTTCTACAGGGCATGGGCTCTGCTTGCCACCTAGCCTCTGGGCAGGTAGTGACAGGGCCAGGCTCAGGCTCTGGGCTCAGCACCAGGGATACATCCTGTGAGATCTGTAGGGCCAGGTAAGGTGACACTTGTGTGGCCCTTGCCCTCTGTCCTAGCCTGGACTAAAGGTGAGCCACAGAACATGCCCTAAGGCTTCCCTGACCTGTGAGATTGGGAAGGGACCACCCCACCCCTAACCCCACCCCAAGGAGGATGGCCTATCACTTCTCCCTTGGTGGCAAAAGTACATATGCAGAGTCCTGCCTAGGGGGGAGCCAGAGTACGGTGGGGGTCAGGAGCTCAGCCCAAGCTCTGCAGGGGAGACTGAGCCTGCAGTAGGTCCCAGGTCCCAGCACAGAGGGTGCTACAGAGCCTTGATTGGTCACGAGCAGACAGGAGGGGTCAGAGGCAAGAAGGGCAACATGATGCAGTGGGAGGGGCTGTAGCAGGCACCCCCAACCATCAGGCCAACCCAGGACAGGCCTGTGCTGACTCCCTGCACCTGCCAGTCTCTGGGTAGCCTTCAGGACCTACAGGATCACAGATCTCAGCCCACACTGGGCACACATGGGGAAGACGGTTTTGCACACCCAGGTAAGGACACATTCAGACCACCCAGACCCAAGCAGGCATTTTTTAAATTTTTAAATTTATTTATTTATATGTGGTACTAAGAATGGAAACCAGTGCCTCACACTTGCTAGGCAAGCACTTTACCAGCAAGCTACAGCCCAGACCCTTAAGTAGTCATCTTTAATGAGGCACCTCCCTTACCCCAAAGTCGAAGCAGTTGAAGGAGGACCGGAAGTAGCTTCTGGGCCCCAGGCCATACATCTTCAGGGACATCTCTGTGAGGAAGAGACCCAGGAAAACAAACTCTGCAAAGTCTAAGAGAAGTCGGAGAAGAGGGAGGTTAGCACAAGGCTCCTCCCACCCTGCCTCCAGCCCAGACTGGAGGACACCACATTTCTGGTTCTTTCCAGGGCTGAACCTTCCAGGCCTGGTTTGCATCCTGAGCTCTGAAATCTCATTCTAGGTCAGGGACACAAGAGATGCTGTTCCAGTCTGGAGGATAAGGGCCCAGGGCTAATGGGACACAGCTCCGGGATACAGAGTCATAGGAGACACCTTCAGAGGAGGGCCTGCAGATGTGCAGCTGGGTACAGCCTCTGGCCAGGCCTGCACCATTGGCTCCTCACTCTGATCACAGGCAGAGCCCCTCAGCCTTGTCAGAGTCTCCCTGTCTTTCCACAAGAGCTTCCTGGCAGCCCTCCTTAGGATCCCACAGCACCGTGTTTAACTTTGACTTTGTTCACGTGTTTGCCCCACATAAGGAGAACTCCTCTACACCTGAACATCTTCCAGGCCTGTCCAACACACACTCCCAAGGGTCACTGGCTCTGCCAAGGGCTTTGGTGATGCCACTCCTGGCTCTGCCAATGAGTAGGGGCATGATGGAGAGGGTTCAACCCAGGAGTCCCAGAGGTAATCCTGCTGACCCTCCAGGGCCTCAGGGTTAAAGGGAGGCCACACTGAGGCTGGAGGGCCCACAAATGCCCACTAGCCTAGCCCAGACAGGAGTAAAGTCAGAGCAAGAGAAGGCAGTGACTCCAGAGGCAGTCCCAGGCCTCCGACATGTACCACCCAACCAGCCTGCCCTTGGCAGGAGTCAGTGGTCGCCATCCCCTAGCTCCTGGGAACCTGCTGCCTGAGCAGGCCAGATGTGGGGAGTGGACCTCAATGAGGCCCTCAGAAGCCCAGACCTCAGAACCGAGCCACTCTCATTGATCCCCCTCCCAGAGGATTGTACTGGGATCAGGAGACCAAAGGCACTGTGGCCGCTGGTCAGGGCAGCAGCTCCAATCCCAGAGCATGGCCACAGAGGACAAGGCCATGAGAAGGAAGGGAGGCCAAGCTGGGGAGCCAGTCGCTGGGCAGATGCCAGCTTATCCCCCTGGGTTTTTGCTGAGACATGGGGCCTTAAGGCAGACACAGCTTCTAAAACACAGATGATGGAAGATGGGTAGCACACTTCACATCCCTGTGCACCCTGAAATCTGCCTTCCCCACAAGTCCCCAAGGGCTACACAGTAATGATCCAAACACTTCAGTAAGGAGTCCGTTTATAGCAGCCCAGATCCAGATAAGCAGAGATGCTAGTTCCAGGCCCACTTAAGCACTGAGCAAACAGAGAGGGGAGGACCCCTCTTCTACCGCGTAAGCCCATGGCCAGCCAACTCCTGGGAGCAACTCATGCCCAACAAGCCTGGCCCCTGAAGCCAGCCAGGAGATCACCAGGCACTTTCACTGAGTATGGGACGATAGCAAAAGGCCAAGAAGCCTACTAGGGAAAGCCAGAGCCCATATCAGGCACAGATGCCACTGACCCTTAGGCAGGGCCTTCTTGGGACAAGAGGACCATCCCCAACCAGGCCTGTTGCTGCCTCAGACAGATGCCTGGGCCTGGTTGTTTCAGCAGCAGGTATGAGCAGCAGCAGGAAAGCTGCACCCCTCACAGTCCAGCTCAGAACAGGAAATATATAAGTAGCCTGCAGAGTCCTAGTGCTCCTGGCCACAAAAACCTCAAAGTCCCTCTACATGGTCACAAAGGCCTTTGCCTGTGCCATCAGTTTCCCATGAAGCACCCTGGGAGAGAAGAGAAATAGGACTATGGCCACCCCCATGGGGACCACCAGCAAGGCTGCCCAGGCCCTCAGCTTGCTCCTAGAAGACCAAAGTGAGAGAACTTTGCAAGAAACAGGTACAAAATTGGCCAAACCTTAGAGAAAGGGACTAGGCACTAGAAGTCCCCAGCGTCCTGTTGAGATGGCCTGAGCTCACACACTCAGCCTCCCCTCTGAGGCCACAGAAGAGGATCATCCATTCTTGCACCAGCAGGCACAGTGCTACTAGGAGCTGGTGCAGGAGATAGCACCCACCCTGCTCTCCAGGGGTTCACAGGCAACAGAGCAAGCAGAGGAGGAAGGTAAAGGTATCCTGTGATAGGCCACTGTGCTCTGGGAGCAGAGGGGAGGGCAGAGAAGTGTGTCCTGTGGATGTGTAAAGCCTCACGGGGGCTCACAGGATGGTGAGGCCCCACAGCTCCCTTTCACTGCTTAAGCCTCAGTTTCCAAGGTCCTGACGGGGCCTCAGGGTGGGTCCTTGGTGGATGGGCAGGTGCATAGAGCTCACTGACTACAGGGTGGCAGGCCTTAGGCCAGGGCCTCACTGTGAGCACTGTGAAGCTGGTCTATGCAGGACCTCTAGAAGCCTGCTCTGCCCTACAGGATCAGACAGGGCCCCAGGCACTATCAGCAGAAAGGCTTAGACTCAGCAAATGTCCACCTCTCCCCCCAGCCGTTTTCCCTCTGTGAGGACAATGGACCCAGGAATTCCAGGAAAACAGCAGATTCCCAGTCAGTTTGCCCAAGGCTGGGGTACTTCCAGCCCACACTTGCACCTTCATACATGTAAGCAGGTCATGCAGGCTCTCACTCACACAGGCACCCCACCTTCCCAGCCAGCAGACACCCAGAAGGCAGGAGTGACCATGAGAGCAGCTGGGCACCAACAGGCCCAGCCAGCTGAGGGGAAGAAGAGAATCCACGGTCCCCACCCAACCCCAAGGGTAAGGAACCTAAGCCTGAGGGTCCAGGAAGACCCTGAACTCACTCCCAAGCAAAGTCCCAAGATGCCAAGCTACCACTCTCAGGATCCAAAACCGGGGACCAGAGCAGGCTGCTGCATGACACAGCACTTCTCCCCAACCCTCCCAGGGGCATCTGAGCCAGGCTGTCTCAGCTCCTCATCCTTCTGCTGCCTCTTTACCCTTCCCCTGAGAGGCAAGTAACAGATTCCTTTTTTCTTTTTCTTTTTTCCCAGAACCAGGGAGTAAACCCAGGACCTCATAATTCTAGGCAAGTGCTCTGCCACTGACAGACCCAGCAGCTGAAGCCCAGGCTGCATAAGTGTGCATGCACATGAGCACACACGTGGGCACACGCGTGAAGCCCAGGCTGGGTGAGTGTGCATGCGCATGAGAACATACGTGGGCACACACATGACCGTGGGCCCGCCTACTGCAGAGCTGCCAGCACCCACCCAGCTCATGAGAGCCCTTCAGGGGCTGAGTGGGCCACATAGGTTGGACAGCTGGGCTAGGACTATGCCAGGATGCTTTCAGGGTTCAGCAAAAATTCTCCCAAGTGCCTCAGGCAGCTTCCAGAGAGAGAGGGAGGTCTTCATGGGAGCCCCAAAGAGCTCCTGCCCCCAGGCCCACTGCAGACACCAAGCAGGGTGAGTGCAGCTGATCCCTGGAGGACAGGGAGGCAAAAGCACTGACCACAGGATGGAAACATCAGTGGATTCTTCAACACTTCACAAAGTAAGACAGCAGAGCCAAGCTGTGCTCCTGGGGCCACAGAGCCCTGGAGTATGCAGGGCCAGCTTCAGAGTGCCAGTTCCAATCCTGGACAGACACAGGAGGCCCCAACTACCAGTTATCTTCCTCTTTGCCTTCTCCTAACTATAGCCGGGGCCAAGACAAGCATGACACAAATCCCTGTTACTGTCCTGGGCTCATGGACACAGGATAGCAACTCATCTCTGGTCATAGCAGTCCTGATGCTCATATGTCCAACCCATTGTACAGGAGAACGTAAGTATCCAGAAGAGCCTTGTGACAGAGCATGCAGCCAGGACTCTGACTCCTCAGGAATCCAGGCCAGGAGTAGCACAGAATGAAGTGCCTAGCCTATGGGTCTGAAACCCTTCAGAGGGAGGACACAGGTGTGTTTGGCCTGGCTCATCCCTGGCCATCCCACACACTTCCTCCCCTGGGCAACCCAGGACCTCTCAACTCATCACACTACTGATGCAGGGCATCTAGCCACATCAGTTGGGCTGCCTGGAACCCACCTGCAGGCATGGAGGGGAGCCCTCAGGCCTGGGACACCACCCAGGCTCCAGCAGAGGCCCCTGGGGACTGACCAGGTCTGTGCAGCAGACAGGAGTTGCGCCCAGGGTGTTCCAGGCAGAAGAGTCGTGGACCAGGATTTCCAGGCTGCAGAGCAGATGGGTTTGGGAGGTGCCCTGAGAGAGGGAAGGGCGGGGCAGGGTACATACACAGAGCTGTGGTGAGCCGCTGCGGCTGGTTGTAGTGCACCATGGCCACACAGAGTGTGTTCAGAGCCACCACACACAGCACCACCCAGTAGAAGCTTTGCGCCTTCACCATGCGCCGGATGAAGAACCGGAACATCTTCTCCTTCCTCCGGAAATACGATGAACTCTCTGTCTTCCCACTTTTGAGGCTGGCACGGGCAAAGGGGGACCCTGCAAGACAAAAGGCTTGCTAGAGCTCAGGGACCAGCAGCCCCATTCTCAGACATACCCTCAAGGACAGCCTGCCCCATCCCCTGTTCACAAGCCATTATGCACTAACCCTTGCCACCCCCCTGTGGGGAGTCCAAAGGTCTCCTTGATGCCTATGGTCCCTGGCTGCCAATGGAAAGCTGGATTGGTCTGGACTGGATGGTCACTGTCTCTGGTCCCGGCACGCTGGCTACCTTCCATAAGGTAGCCCTGATGCCCTGGGCACCCTTGTAGGCACTCCAAGCTTTTTCCAAGAGAGATAAATCTGACAGAGTCAGTCCCTCCCCAAGATCCATCCCTCCAGTACACCCTGCCCCCCAACTCAGGGGTCAGCAACCACTGGCTACCTGTTTCTTAAGCATCTCTCCTGGACATGCATTTGTTCTTGGTACATGGCTGATGTCCTGTCCATAAAGGCCAAAACATTAGCTGTCTGGGAAGTGTGCTGACCCTGCTCTCACCTGACTCCTTCTTCTCTCCCCAACGCACACCCAAGCCGTCACCTCTGCTGCTTTGATCTTAGCAGTTCCCAAATGTAAAATGCTCCCTTCCCTAGGCTTCCTTTCCATGGTGGCTCCTCAGCTGGGGGTCTTAGCTTCAATGTCACCTTTACAAATCATCTTTCTCTGGACACTCCATCGAAAGTAGGGTCCTCCCTGCCCACGCTCTGCAGTGATACCCACCTCATGGCCACCTATCACCATTTTCTCATCAGCCTATCCTTATCCAGCTCCCTGAACAGTAGCCAAGTTGAAGTTTTCATCCCTGAGCCCCCTTCCTGCATGTGCACACACACTGGGCCCCCAGGTAAGAAGGCCAGAGAGGGCAAAGCTACTGCACGGCACACACAGCTAGGGAGAGCAGGGAACCACCTCAGGGGGGGTCTCCATTCTGTCCCCATGTAAGGAAGACCTCGCAGGGATGTGCCCTTCACAACTGCCTGCCACAGCCACACCCACCTGGGCCCATGACATACATGATGTCATGGTATGGATGTGAGGTATCCCCAAAAGCTCACGTGTGAGACAAAGCAAGAAGGTTCAAAGGGGAAGTGATTGGGTTTTGAGAGCCTTCATCAGTGACTTAATCCCCTGATGGGGTTAACTGAGTGGCAACTGAAGGTAGGTAGGTGTGGCTGGAGGAAGTGGGTCCCTGGGGATGTGGCCTTTGTCATATATGTATATGTATATGGCCAATGGAGTCTCTCTCTACTTCCTCATCAGGTGAGCCACGTGCATACACCACACTCTTCCACCATGATGTTCTGCCTCACCTTGAGCCCAGAGGGATGAAGCCTGCTGCATATAGACTGACACCTCTGAAATTTGAGCCCCAAGATAAACTTTTTCTCCTCTAAAATTGTTCTTATCAAGTCTTTTAGTCACAGCAGCAAAAAAGCTTAAAACACAAGAACCCAGAGCATGTCAACCACTACGGCACTTGCACAAAACCACACCCCACATTGCCTGCAGAGCTCCCAACACACACTCAAGGGGTGCCGGGGGTGGGGCAGGAGCCAAGGATCCTCCACTGCAAGCTGACAGGGACTCTTGCTTCTCGTGCCACCCACACTCCAGGGCATGGCCAGAACTGCTTCAGCCTCAGGTCCACAGGAGCCTGGGCACCCAGGTAGAAAGTGGCTGCAAGGCCAACGCTCCCATGAGTACTTCCAAGGTCCTGCTCTTTGGGAGGGGGGCGCAATCCCAGCAGACAGCAATTCTTAGCAAGCAGCCACTGTGTGCTCAAGTCTGCTGTGGGCAGTGGCTCCGGCCCCATTTTTGGGGGAAAGCAGGTATCTACAGTAAATGCAGAAATGCATCATCAAATGGTAGTCTCGGTGGGAAGACCACAAGATCAAACTGCTTCTCAGCTTTCTGAACCTTCCAGACCTAATCAGCATATAGTCCCTATGATGAAAAACCTTATTTCAAGAAAAACAGACCTGAAATCTTCAAGAATTAAAACAACCCAAGAAAGCTAAATATCAATAGAACAAGATACAACTGAGGGCACATCATATAAAGGAATCCAGATGTTTCTAAGAGGAATTCACCAGTCAATACGCAGTCCCTGTGACCCTTGTCAGTACTATTTGCTCAACAAACATGCACAGACCTTTTGTTCCAGGCCCTGAATGAAGCCAGAAAACGGAACGACCAAGATCTACCCAGCTCTCAGTGACTTTCTAGAGGCCAGGGAGAAGGAAGAAGAAAGCCAGTGTCTTTCCAGCCTGGCTGGTGTGTCCCAGCATGGAGTAGCAAAAGTGACATGGGCTCAAGCAACATGCTGACATGGACCCAAAGGCTGCCACCCTTGACCTTAGGGTTGTGTGACCTGGTGCACGTATGTCACACAAGCCTGGAAGCCACTCACTTGGCAACAGATCACAGGCCACCTGTACCTTTAAGGGTCAGCTGGGATTTAGTGAGACAACTCTGAGTGGAGGGCTAAACATGGGGTGCAAAGAATAGGCTGATAACAGCATGTGGGCAGGGAGACATGAGAGCCCAGCCCCTGAGACACAGCCATCCTCAGCTGGAGGGCAACCAAGGGGACCCAGCTGGGCTGGGAACACAGAAACCCAAGAATGGCTTCCTTCCCTCCCAGCCAGCCCCAAGCCTGTCCTGACCAAGGACCAAGGCCTGCACACACTGAATGCAAGTATGTCCTTGGGCTCTGCTAGGGACTCAGAGGAAAGTCTATTAGTCCCAGGGATCCAAGTACAGCACCCAACTCACCACACAAAGCTTAAAGAGAGAAAGAAAACAAACTTCCCTCCTGAAATTTCTCAGCAGGCAAAATGAAAGGAAGTTCACTCAGGAACTTAGTGAGACAACTCTGAGTGACTGGAAGGTGAGGCAGAGGAGGGAGCCATGAGGCAAGGGCAGAGGTACAGAAGAGCAAACCAGAGACACACTGAAGGGCAGTGACTCCTAGCAAAGGAGCAAGGAAAGGAGACGACCATTATAAGTGGGGAAGCCGCTCCTCACGGCAGCAGGGTGGAGCTACAGGTCAGGGCCTGGGTGTCAAGCTCCAGCAAGGAACAGGCCACAACAAGGTCACCTCACGGTGAGGACCAGGGAAGGCCTCCTGACAATAGGGAGAACTCAGTCCCCACCTACACACCCTGGCAGAGTCAAGAAGGAGAGGGAACAGGCTGTGGAAAGCTGGGGCTGGAGGAGGGGCAGGAGGCCTCAGAAGGGCGCAGCAGGGCGCATGCACATGCGGATGCTCCACCTGGGGCAGCAGCGAGGGGCTCACACCTGGTCCAGGACAAGAGGGGGCCACTGCAAAGGTCATGCCTCCTCAAGTTAGGAGTGGAGCAAAATAAACAGAAACAAAAATGCAGCGATGGGAACAGTCCATCATGGTGGTAAAGATGGTGAAGCAGCAAGCTGGAGTGGTGAGAACACTGTTCCCAACCACGAGGGCAGGAAAGGGAAGACGGCCTCTGTGGAGGGCAGAGGTGGAGACCAGAAACTAACGAGGGGTGGGACAGCTCGGAAGAAAGCAGAAGTCCCTCAAAATGGAGGGCACAGCCATGCAGTGCAGCCACGAGGAAGAACAAGACCTGTGCACCAGGCACCTGCTAAGTCAGATGGATCCTCCATCAGAAACAGACATCACACTGGGTTTAGAAAGAGCACAGCCAAAAAACCATGATTCTTATGGTGCTTGGGCCAGGCATGGAGGCGCAGGCTGCGATCCATTACTGGGGATGCTGAAGCAGGAGGATCTCAAGTTCAAGGCCAGCCTCAGCAAATAACAAGACCCTGTCCCAAAATAAAAAATAAAAAGGGCTGGGGATGTGACTCAGTGCTAGAGGGTGCTGAGATCAGCCCTCAGTACAGGGGCTGGGCGTGGAATGGAGGATAAATGTTAAAGAAGTGTGGAAAATGAAAGAGAAAGAAGGGTACCAGGCAAATGCAAGCTAAAACAAAAACAATGACCTTGGCAAGAAGCAGATGGTGACATTTAATGCCAGGCAAGGGGGACTGTCCAGGGGAGGAGCTAAACAGAGAGAGAAAGCACTATGTGAAGAAACACAGGTAACCTGTGCAATCAGAACGGCTGCACCAGGAAACCACCTGCTGGCCAAGTCACCACAAAAGCCAGGAATACCAGGGACTTTGTGAAAAGCCCCATAGGAAGACCTATTGGGACCACAGACCTCAGGGACAGAAACCAATATGCTTGGGATCCATGCAGAGCCCAGCCACAGTCTGATAGCTCTCAGATACACTACACTCTCTCTGTTAATGAAACTTTCTAAAATCAGTTGGGAACATACAATCTGAAAACACACAAGTGTACAGACTTACAGGCCACGTTTTTCAATCTGATAAAATTAGAAGAGAAGGATGATCAAAATGCTGTACCCATTTATCAGTTAAGAAGCACACCCTTAGATAGCCTTGCAAGAGAAAAGCAAAGGGGCCAGAAGGAGGTACCACAGCACACTTTTATACAGAAGGAGGAGAGATAGAGGGAGGAGGAGAGAGAGGGAGAGAGGGAGGGGTAGAAAGGGGGAGAGAAAGAGTGTGTGGAAGAGAGTGGGAGAGAGGAAGGGAGAAAGAAAAAGAGAGGGAGGGAGAGAGACAGTGTAGGTGGGAGAAAGAGGGGGAGAGAGAGGGAGAGGAGGAGAGAGAGAGAGAGAAAGAAAAGGAGAGAGAAGGAGAGAAAGAGTATGTGGGAGAGAGTGGAAGAGAGAGAGGGAGAAAGAAAGAGAGGGAGGGAGAGAGTGGGGGAAGAAAGAAAGGGAGGGAGAGAGAGAGTGGGGGGGAGAAAGAAAGGGAGGGGGAGAGAGAGGGAGAGAAGGAGAGAGAGAGGGGAAAGAGAAAGTGTGTAGGTGAGAGGGAGAAAGAAAGAGACAGGGTGGGAGAGAGAGTGTGGGAGGAGAGAGGGGGGAGAGAGAGGGAGAAAGAAAGAGAGAGGGAGGGAAAGAGTGTGTGGGGAGAAGGTTTCTTAGCAAAGCATCGATTACAAAAGTAATCTTTCCCGCCTACATCCCTGAGTCCCTGGCTCCCAGTTTTATCTCAGCTATACCCACTGATAATGCCAGCATTCTTTAAATTATGACCATCCATAGGAAAGAACTTCAAATATTCTTCAATTTATGTTACAAAATCAGAATTCAAAAACCTAGGTTAAGTAGGAATAGAAGGAAATTTTCTAAATATAACACACATGGGATAAATCATGGAGCTTGGGCACAGGTCTATAATACTTTGACTCTGATTACCAACAAAAAAATACAAACAGCCTGACAGAAAAACAAGCAGGGCATCTGAGGAGTCACCAACTACAAATCCCAACGGGAAACTAAGAGGAGGCATCCAGCCATGAGCTGTCTGGCTGTAGAAGTGACAGTCCCAGGGAAGACCTCAGTAACCAGCGGCCACATGGGTAGGGTGCAGTCTGAGGCGGGGACACTGCAGGGCCACAGGGCCCCCACAGAACCTTCAGGCAGCACCTCCCACAGCAAGAAGAAAGGACAAAAGATGCCAGGCAAGGGAGAGGGGCATCAAGTTACCCTGGGAGAGCTCAGCACAGAGGGCCAGAGCCACTGGCAAGGTTGACGGGGTGACCACGGCACCATGGGACCAAAGGCGGCAGGGATCTGCGACTGGGATGGGAGGACCACACGCTACGAAGGACATGTGTCCATGCCTGTGTGTGTCCTCTGAGGGACACTATGTGTGTGTGTGTCCTCTGAGGGAGAGTGTGTGTGTGTGCGTGTCCTCTGAGGGACAGTGTGTATGCGTGCGTGTCCTCTGAGGGAGAGTGTGTGTGTGTGTGTGTCCTCTGAGGGAGAGTGTGTGTGCGTGTGTGTCTTCTGAGAGACAATGTGTGTGTGCGTGTCCTCTGAGGGAGAGTGTGTGTGCGTGTGTGTCCTCTGAGAGACTGTATGTGCGTGTGTGTCCTCTGAGGGACAGTGTGTGTGTGTGTGTGTGTGTGTGTGCGCGTGTGTGTCCTCTGAGAGAGTGTATGTGCGTGTGTGTCCTGTGAGGGAGAGTGTGTGTGTGTGTGTGTGTCCTCTAAGGGACAGTGTGTGTGCGTGTGTGTCATCTGAGAGAGAGTGTGTGTGCCCCCGTGTGTCCTCTGAGAGAAAGAGTGAGTGTGTGTGTGTGTGCGCGTGTGTCCTCTGAGGGGCTGAGTGTGTGTACAGAGGAGAGACCTCAGTGGAAACTGTCCCTTCACTGCCACAGGGCGGCAGAGCCTAGAGCAGCACACCTGCAGCATGTGCCAAGACATGAGCAGGCTTGGGGCAGGAAGGAACCCCAGCAGCAGCAGGTCCAGCCACAGCCCCTTGACAGCCAGAGGACAGACTCACCCACGGCACAGAGGTCTGCAAGCCGGTCCTCCCCCTCCTCAGCGTGGATCAGGTCGTGGCGGCTCTTCTTGGTGGCGGCTCTCTTCAACACGGCTGTAAACACAGGGCGCGGCGATGGCATGAGCTGCAGCCTCAGGCAACCCACCTCAGAACTGGGGTGTCCGTCCATTGAGCTGGGAGTTATCCTCCCCCTGGACTGGCCACTTTCCTCAGCTTCTGTCTCAGCTGGAGCTAAGGATGATGCCTGGTGCCCATGGGCCCAGTCCTTGGGCAGAGGACAAGAAACTCTGAGGTTGGGTCTGCTTTCTTTTCCCTCCAAAATGAAGTCAGTAGGGGGCCTGGCAACCAGGGAGACACAGGAACATTTATCTGTGACAAGGCTAGGGCTGCCAAGGGGCCAGTGTGGACCTGCTCAGAGCCTTAGGTGTGGGCAGCGCTGGCAACTGTACCATGAACATTGCAATGCTTGCCTTCACCAGCCCCGCACTCTGGCCCCAGGTGTCTTTCCATAGCCTTTAGAAGCAGCAGTACTCCAGGTCCCTGGGCCTGCAGGTGTAAAGCTTCCAGAAGCAGCCCTGTCCAGCCCGCCTTCCACAGCAATATGGTGTGCACATCGGGAAGCCCAGGCTCAGACCCCAGGGCCCCATGGCTTGTGACCATGGCTAACCTGCAGGTGCCTGGCACAGCAGACTGTGTGTGGAAACAATTACAGGTGAACACGCACCACTGCCCACTCAACCCGCGAGCCCCCACTACATTGATGGAGTGCCATCAAATGACCTACCATCCAAAGGAGACTTCTCCTCTGCATTCTTGTCCTCCTCTGCCAGCATGACTTCCTCTGTGAAGGGACACAGCCTCCAGTCAGAGCCTGCCCTGCCTGTCCCCAGGAACACCCTGGACAAGGGCACACCCCTTTCTGGAAGTCACCCAGTACCCTCTCCTCTGCTCTACTTCTATGCTTTCAGCAGCCAGCAAGCCTATGGCTAGGTCCCTGATTCTAAGACCTAGGCAGGGTTCCATGCAGAGAGGCCAGCTGTCTTGAGTCCATCCCATGTCCCCATCTACATTCTGCCCACCTGTGAGTTCATCACTGGGGAAGCATTTGTGAACCCTCGAGTGGCATGGACAGTGTCCACAGGAAGGAGAGCACTGGCTGGGCCAGGAGGGGAATTGGAAAGTCCAGGGTTTCCAAGCCCAGAGCCAGGCTTGGAAGGAGCTGAGGTCAAGGGCAGGGCACTCAGGTCTAACATGACCATGCCAAAATCATCTACTGAAAAGCCCAGTGTACTCAGTGCCATCTGGCTGCCTGGTGCCGGGAGCCTGGGTGAGCTGGAGAGAGAGGCCTCCTCTAGTCCCAGCTCCTTCCAGCCATCTCAGCTTCCCTGCACTGAGCTCTACCCCATAGCCAGGGACAGCCACTGGGAGCAGAGCAAACTGGGAACACAGAGAAACAGAGGGCAGATCACCAGTGCAGCATCCAGCTCCCACAGATTCTCACCAGCCTTGAAGATCCACTCCAGGTACCCATTGAGCTCCCGCTCTATCTGCTGCTGCCGGCGGAGCTTCAGGAAGGCACGGCGGTTCTCCACCCTCTCTCGCTCCTTGGCGAACTCCCTGCATCCAGCAGGGCCAGGGAGGCAAACAGCAATCAGTGCAAAGACCCCAGGCCTCCCAGGGGAGCAGCCCCAGAGATAAAGGGCTAGACAGGAGGTGAAGGCTGCTGGAAACCTCCAGGTAGCTCCCTTCAGCCCAAGAGAGGGCCGCTCTCCCGGCTGCTGGGAACCCACATGTTCTCTGGTCAATCTTCCCATGTGCAGTGTCCTCAGCAGGGGCCAAGGCTCTCCAAACCCTGGTGACTGCCAGCCTTCTCCCCACCACAATCCTGGCTCCATCCCCAAGAATCCCCGCAGCACACAAGTGCCACACTGTCCACACTGCTGAGCCTGCGGCAGAGGAACTCTGCCTGGAAGACCCTCCTCCCTTCACCTGGCTCACTCCTAGTCCCTCTCTGGGTCTCAGCTGAGATGCCCCCGCCTCACATGCCTTTTCTGAGCCCCAGACCTCCACTGGCTTCCCCACTAGACTAGGAGTTCTGAACTATCCCCTGTGCTGTGGGCCCTGCTCGTCTCTGAGGAGGGCATGGGAAGACACAGCAATGACAATCAGGTCCCTTATATGACAGATTTGAAGCTAAGGATCACTCCAGCACCAGAGCTTTTCTGGCCACCATGGCAGCTCCCCCTGAAGCTACCAGGCTCTACCTGCAGCCCACCCAGTAGCCTAGGCCTGAGCAGGAGGCTTCAGGGTAGACAGAAGGGAGAGACACAGGGTGTCTGCTATGACTTAGATATAAGTATCCCCCAAAACTGATGTGTGAGGTCTTGGTCCCCAGTGCAGCAGAGTTCAGAAGTGTGACTTTGGGAAGTGATTAGATCATGAGGGCTCTGACCTGGTCAGTGGATTAATTATTTGAAGGCCAGGGGAACCTAACTGAAGGATGGGTCTTTGGGGGTGTGCCCTTGGGGATTATCATATCTTGTCCCTGGTCCCTCCCCACTCCTCCCTCCCAGATGCCATGAGCTGAGCAGTTTCCCTCCACCTCACCCGTCCACCATGCCCTTCTGCCTCACCTCAGGCCCCAAAACAATGGAATTGGTCAAACATGGACTGAAACCTCTGAAACTCTGAGCCAGAATATGATTTTTCTCCTTTAGGTTTTATGTCAGGTATCTTGGTCACAGTAATATAAAGTTAACTCCCAAGCTCTCCTTAGGAGCTCAGCACAAAAGGCCAGGTGGCGGTGAGGCTAGGGTAAGGTGGGGTGCAGAGCCAAGACTTTTGAGGGCCATGTCTGCTCTGCCTTGTGGTAAAAGAAGGGCTCTATGGCCACGGAGGCTGCCCGGAAACTCCAGCACAGACCACACCCGGGTGAGGGGCAGCTGCAGCCCCTCTCCACAACAGAGGCAGAGCAGAGCGCAAGGATGTAAAAGGGGGAAGAAGGTGAAGGGTTGGCCAAGGGATAAGTCATGATGGTGGCACAAGGAAAGGCCCCAGTGCCCAGGACACTGGGAACAACCGCATCGTGTGTGCCCATGTCTGACTCCATTCCTGCTCTCCTCCGTCTGAGAACACAGGGAATCCACACAAGTCCCACAGGGCTCTTACCCTGAGAGCACACCCAGCACAAGGTTGAGCATGAAGAAGGAGCCGATGATGATGAGGGGGATGAAGTAGAGCCAGTTCCAGGTGTTTCCAGCTGCATCATTTGTCTAGAAGCAAAGAGGAAGAAAAGAGGGAGGATGGACAGACAGCCCTGGCCACAGAAGTGTGCTGGCCCCTTATAGGCCTCCTCAGAAGCAAACACCTGCCAGGGGAGTCCAGGCAGGTCAGAGGTCAATTGGGACCCCCCATCAGACCTGCCTCTGCCCTATAGAGCTTCCCCTGGGCTGAGGCCCCCAGAAGACCAGGGATACTTAGCCCTTGCCAGTCACTGCTGACGAACATTGAAAAGCTCAGAAGTAGGCCCAGCGAGCTAAAGGCTGCTACAGATGCCCCAAGGGCTGCATCCTGGCCTCTGTCTGTTGGGACACCTCCCTAATGGGACACTCTCAGTCTCCCTAAGTAGTTCCATTGACATCTCTTCCCAATAGAGCCCCACAGGCTCTAAAGTCCACACCCAGACATCCATCTGCAGCAGCTCCACAACCCAGAGGCCACGGGAGCCTCCACACTGAATTCTCCACGCACCCACAAGGGATAGTTCTCACCACGTGCCCAACACAGCCCAGCTCCCAGACGTGATCTGCATAGCTGAGGCAAAGAAAGGCCATCTCCCCCAGAGCTTTGCTTTTTATAGCACAGCCTACAAAAGGATGAGCTCCCCTGAATCCAATTTAATTCCACAGCTGTTGTTCTGTTTCTGGGTCCCAGGAACCGTGGCTACGAGCAGTAGAGAACCTCTTTCTCTATGTGAGCCTAGTGTGAGAAGCAAACCAAGAGGCAGATGGGTGCTGAGGGTGGGCACAACCTGGGCCTTCACACCTCCCTTCAGAGAGTCCTCAAGCTGAGGCCCAGAGCACCCAGCGGGACAGAGGCAGAAGGCCAGCCTGAACATGGCCTATAGCTGGAGCTGATCTCCAGGAGCCACTGTTAGGACGCCTGCCCTTGGGCATCTGTCAGCCCTGGCAGCATTTTCAGAATCTATCCCTAGAGGATCTTCAGTCCCCTGGAATGACTAAAGCTTGCAGCATCTGAGCCCAGAACACTGACTTCAGGACGGTCACCAAAACCCCTGGATTCCAACCTGTATCAGACATTCAGGATCCCGACTCACACTGCAGTTCATGTTCCTGGATGCCTCTGCCCAGACCCATTTGCAGCTCAGATCCACGGACTGGAAGGGCACTAAATCCACCAACCTCCCTGCAGGCTACCCTCAAAGTTGTCTTCCTTGCAAGAGGAAAGACTGCTGCAAACGAAGCCCCTTTCACCTAACATATATCAGATACATACATCAATCTAATGTATATCTCTGTAACTGTATATCTAGGTGTACACACCCACAACAGAGACTGGAAAATATGGGGAACCACAGCATTCAAGTCAGACATGCTGCCGCACGCCTGAGTCCCAGCTACTCAGGAAGCTGAGGCAGGAGGATCACAAGTTCCAGATAGGCCTTGGCAACTTAGTGAGACTCTTGTCTTCAAATAAAAAGGGCTGAGGATATAGCTCAGTGGTAGAGCACCACTGGGTTCAATCCCTAGTACCAAAAACAAAACAAAAAGAAACATCCATATTCATAGTATCAGAATCACAGGCAGCAGGAGAAAGAGGACAAAGCTAAGAAAATCCTTCAAGAAACAATCAGTAAAAACTTTCCAAATTTGGCAAGAGAAACTAAACCACAGATTCAAGAAGCTGAGCAAACTCCAAATAGCATAAAAGTAATCCACAAGGGCTGGGAATGTGGCTCAAGTGGCAGCAAGCTCGCCTGGCATGTGTCTGCTGAGAACTAAAAAAAAAAAAAATATATGAAAAAAAAAAAAAAAGTAATCCACAAGACACCTAAGAGTCAAACTTCTGAGAACTAAAAGCAAAGAAAAAATCTTGAAAGTAGCAAGGTTTTCTCTCCGTAGGCGTGTGTATATATAGACACACATGCACACTTGACACTTAGACACTCAGGTCTGCATTAGATTGAGGTATACATCTGATGCCTATGTGTCAGACTGGGTATTTCTCTCACTGTTCACCAATCTTCACCCACCTCCCTCCATGAAGTTACTGTGCCTTACTTTAGTGGAAAACAATTCAAAAGACTTCTCATCAGGCCGTGCATGCCTGTAATCCCAGTGGCTCTGGAGGCTGAGACGGGAGGATCGTGAGTTCAAAGCCAGCTTCAGCAAAAAACAAGACTCAGTAAGACCTTGTCTCTAAATAAAATACCAAAAGGGCTGGGGATGTGGCTCAGTGGCCAAGTGCCCCAGAGTTCCATCCCTGGTACCAAGAAAAAAAGAAAAAAAGATTTACCATCAAAAGCCAGGGAAGCCAGCAGGAGTGAAAGAAAGAAAAGAACTGTTGACCCAGACACCTGCACACCTTAAAAACAGAGCTGGGGAATCAAGACATTCAGATGAAAGATCAGGAAGATTAAAAGAGTCATTCACCAGCAGGGCTCCCCTCAAAGAATGGCTAATGAAACTTTAAAAAAGGAATCACTGACCACCAGAAAGAAAGGAAACACATAGATTGAATAAATTATGGATAAATATATTTTCTTTCTCCTTATGTTTGATAATCGAAGCAAAACTTATACTAGTATCTCATGCAGTTCTAAATATGCAGAGAAGACACATTTAAGGTAACCGTGTTACAGAAGATAAAGAAACGCAGAGAAGGCAAGGCTTATTCTCCTCACTTGATCTGGTGATGTGATAACATGAGCACAGACTCAGAGCAGCTAGCAACCACTAAAAGATACACGTGCATGGGTAGATTAAAATGGGATTCTAAAAGAATAAAATAAAAAGCCAGCTAACCCACAGGAAGACAGGGAAAAAGAACAAAAAGCCAGACAGAATAATGGTAAACAAAACAGACAGAATAATGGCAAATGTAACATATAAATAAGCACCTTAAATGTAAATGGTCTGAAAATATCAATTAAAAGATAATGAACTTATCTAGAAGAAATTCACTTCAAATATAAAATGTAGGCAAGTTGGAAGCCAAATATGAAAAATGATCTTTTTTGTTTGTTTGTACTTTGGGTATTGAGGATTGAACCCAAGGGTGCTTAACCACATCCCCAGCCCTTTTTTATATTTTATTTAGAGATAGGGTCTTGGTGAGTTGCTAAGTGCCTCACGAAGTTGCTGAGGCTGGCTTTGAACTCGTGATCCTCCAGAGCCCCTGGGATTACAGGCATGCGCCACCACGCCTGGTGGGAAACTGTATTTCATACAAATATTCATTGAAAGAAAAGTGGAGTGGCTATATCAGATAAAGTAGACTTCCAAGCAAAAAACTACCAGAAATACAGCAGAATGTACATAATAAAAAGAGTCAATCCACAAGAAGACAGCAATTCTAAATGTATATGCAACCAACAAAACTGCTATAATATAAGAGAAACAGTCGAAGTCACAAAGTTGGACACCTCTTCACTTTTTTTTTTTTCAAAAATCCATAGAAGAACTGGACAGAAAATCAGCAAGGACACAGAAAATCTCAACAACCCATCACCCAACAGAATTCGATTGACATTTATACACCTAGTCCATAAAAGCAGCAGAATACACATTCTTTTCAAGTGCAAATACCAACATGAACCATACTCTGAACTATATACCAAAATTCAACAAATGTAAAAGAATTCAAATTCTTACAATTTGGTGTATTCTTTCACTACAATAGAATCAAACTAGAAATAACAGAGACATAAGAAGTAACTCAAACATAAAGAAGACAATTCTAAATAAATCATAGGTCAAAGATGAAGTCTCAAGGAAGTTTAAAAAATACACTGAACTGCATAAAAATAAGAATACAATATACCAGGGGTTGGGGCTGGGGCTCAGTGGCAGAGCACTTGCCTCACACATGTGAGGCCCTGGGTTCAATCCTCAGCACCACATAAAAAAATAAATAAACAAAATAAAGATATAGTGTTCAAGTATAACTAAAAAATTTTTAAAAAGAATACGATATATCAAACTTGTAGGACATAGCTAAAGCAATGCCAAGAGGGAAATTTATATCACACATCCATGTTACAAAAGAAAGAAAATCTCAAATTAATAACCTAAGCTTCCACCTTAAGAAACTTTTAAAAAAGAAAACAACATAAGCCAGAATCAAGCAGCAGGAAATAAATAAGAGTAAAATCCAACAAAATTGAAAACAAAAACAATAGAGAAAAAAAAAATCAACAAAAATGAGAAGCGATTCTTTGAAGAAAATCAGCTAAACTGACAAACTTGTAGCAATACTAAGAAAAAAGAAAAAACATGCAAGTTATCAAAATTAGTAATGAGGCAGATCCAGCAAACATCAAAAGGATAATAAAAGAATACTATAAACAACTTTACATACATATATTTGACAATGTGAATTAAGTGGACCAATTTCTAAAGACCACAACTTACTCAATGTAAAATAATAGTCCTATAATTTGAAGGGAAATGAAATAATAACTTAAAAACTCCCCCCAAGTGGGCTGGGGCTGGGGCTCAGTGGTAGAACACTTGCCTAGCACATGTGAGGCACTGGGTTCAATTCTCAACACCACATAAAAATAAATAAATAAATGAATAATAAAATAAAATCCACCCACAACTTAAAAAATATTTTAAAAAATTCTCCCCAAAAGGATAGACAAAGATCAATGGAATTGAATTAATGATCTAGAACTAAATCCTGACTTACATGATGAGGCACTTTTAATGAGGCTGCTGGGACAATTCAATGGGGAAAGAATGGTCTTCTCAATCAGTGGTGCTGGGACTAGTGGGTCTCCACATGCAAGAGCATGAACCTTAGGCCCTACCTCACACCAGGCATAACAATCAACCCTCAGGGGCACCAGGTTGGATCCTCAGCACCACATAAAAATAAGTAAAACAAAGGCATCATGTCCAACTACAACTCAAAAAGTATTTTTTTTTTAAAATCAACCCTCTGTGGACCACAAAACCAGATACAAAAGCAGAAACTAGAAAATTCCTATAGAAAAAAGTCATGGCTCTATAAAAATAGATATATAACC